TACGGGTCTACCACTCTTAACCACTACACCACACTGACTGCATATCTGTCACTCAAAAAACCTTCCTGCCCTTTTGGAGTACCCTACGTGATCATTAGAGCATTCCACTAAGGCTTCAGTTTGTCTCCTTATTCTTCCCTAAGGCTGAGGGTCATAGTTTGGTGGGGTCTGTAGAAGCAGAGTATGTTAACAGGCCCCACAAAGACAGGATGTCATTCTGTGACGTAGACCAGGCCTAGATGGCAGGCAAACTCCTTCCAGATACTTAAGAAACTAGCTGCACAAAACTAGCTGCATAAAACTTCTCATAGCACGAGCTATGAAATGTTGGTTGTGGCTTCTAATGAAAGCCCTCACAGTAGCTTCTGTTAGTGTGGACAAGCTGTGAGTGGGTGTGCAAATCTCAGTGTGTGGCAGTGGTGACCATACTTGGCCCTCCAGCTGTTTTGGGACTACAATTCCCACCGGTCCTGTTAGCTAGGGATGATGGGAGCTGTAGTCCCAAAACAGCTGAAGGGCCAAGTTTGGCCATGCCTGGTGTATGGGAAATGACTATGAGGGTCTTTTATCATTGGTTCACCCACACGTTTTATCATGATTGCAATCTCAAACATTGTGCAAACGAGCCACCAAATGAGTTCACACATTCGGCTTCCAGTCCTCAAGGTCTCAGTAACCAAGTGATGTACTGTACAAGTCATGTCCGAAACAAGTAGACACACCATGCATCCAATTCGTTCTGCAAACAAGCTGGTGGAATGAAAACCTCTGAGCCAATCTTAAAATCAATCTCAGCACCTCAGACAGATAGCAGCGGTCTGGAAACAAAACAACTCAGCTGGGATGTGGACATCAAGCCCTGCTAAGGCATCTCAGAAGGCTTGACCTTGGTAGGTTTAGAAGGACTAATCACTGAGAATGAAGGAAAAGGTCTAAAGATATGAGTGGAATTAACTCCACTGCGATGGAGCCCTAATAGAAATGCTGCCCACTCCTGAGGATCATCTCCCTTATTAGTTTGTTTCCCTTTGCTTGCACGCTGCTCTGAAAGAGCTTTCCTCCAGGGCTGGCAGAGCAAAGGCAGTTCAAGTACAGGGTAAACAGATGTCCCAGTTTAGGGGGAATGACCTGGGTTGAAGGGACGGCTCAGGGTTCACAGAGAGTTCTAGTGAAATCAGGTTCCGTTAACATTAAAATGGTCAGGAGGTCCCTGTTTTCCTGGCTTCCTTCCTTCCTATTGTGCCTGGATGTGCTGTGCCCGTCCAAAGTGCTGGCCGCTAATTTTAGCTGGGGGCACCGACCGGGCTGCGGCATCACAAGAGTGCATGCAAGGACATTGCAGTCTGTCGTGCAGCAGCGGTAGTAAGCCGGTAAGAGATGACAGCGTGCCCAGGCCAAGAGTTCATGGGAGCAGAGGCAAAACGCTACAATTAGGCTTAAGTCCCGTTCCGTTGCTCTCGGGTTCACTGGAGTTCAGCAGTTGCACAGCGGCTGAGTGGCAGCAGCTTTGGCATTACGTTACTAGAAAAAGGCTAAGAGGAAAATGAGTGTTGCTCCGCCAGCAGAACAGACCTGGAACAGCTGCTGCAGAGCGGAGGCTTACAAGATCACAGACAGGGAAACATACTTGGGAGCAAGCCCCATCGATTTCCCTGGGGCTTGCTTCTGAGTGAATATACAGTGGTACCTCGGGTTAAGTACTTAATTCGTTCAGGTCCCTTCTTAACCTGAAACTGTTCTTAACCTGAAGCACCACTTTAGCTAATGGGGCCTCCCGCTGCACCGCCGGAGCACGATTTCTGTTCTCATCCTGAAGCAAAGTTCTTAACCCGAGGTACTATTTCTGGTTTAGCGGAGTCTGTAACCGAAGCGTCTGTAACTAGAGGTACCATTGTACGCAGGATTGCACCAAATGCACGGCAATGCCAATGTCTCTACCCCCATCGTTCTACCCGGACACTGAGGTCCAGCACCGAGGGTCTTCTGGCGGTTCCCTCACTGTGAGAAGCCAAGTTACAGGGAACCAGGCAGAGGGCCTTCTTGGTAGTGGCGCCTGCCCTGTGGCACGCCCTCCCACCAGATGTCAAAGAGAACAACAACTACCAGACTTTTAGAAGACATCTGAAGGCAGTCCTGTTTAGGGAAGCTTTTAATGTTTGATGTATTACAGTATTTAAATTTTTGGGGGGAAGCCGCCCAGAGTGGCTGGGGAAGCCCAGCCAGATGGGCGGGGTATAAATAATAAATTATTATTATTATTATAGTTTTGGAGACCCCCCACTCCCAACAGAGCTCCATTTCCAGGTTTACTCTCAGAAAGCTGAGTACTTCGTGAGAAAGGCTTTCGCTTATTTATATTAATGATTCCTATATGGTAGCAAACCTTCCAGGACAGTTTTGTAGAACAAGGTAAGAGGAGGGAGAGGAATCAAAAGAAAGCAACATAAACAGCGGCATCTTAAAACACATGTAAACCTGGCACTATTTTTAAAAAAATGTATTTGCCAGATGCTGATAAGAGGGTGATGTGATCTGCTTTTGCCTTTCTGATGTGATGTGTGTCCATCTGCATGGATACACACACGTTTTGGCCGTAAAGTTACATAGTTGTCATAGCTACCAGGTCAGCTGTTGACACCACCAGGTGGATGAAAGGAACTAGGGGGAAATGGTGGAAATTGGGCCTTCAAGTATACAGTGGTACCTCTGTTTAAGAACTTAATTTGTTCTGCAGGTCCGTTCTTAACCTGAAACTGTTCTTAACCTGAGGTACCACTTTAGCTAATGGGGCCTCCTGCTGCTGCTGCACAATTTCTGTTCTCATCCTGAAGCAAAGTTCTTAACCCGAGGTACTATTTCTGGGTTAGCGGAGTCTGTAACCTGAAGCATCTGTAACCTGAAGCGTCTGTATCCCAAGGTACCACTGTACTTCTCCAATCACAGAGAGTTCTTGATAGGATATACATCTATTCCAAAATATTCAAATCGGCTCCTCTGAATGGCTCTGCAAAGATAGAATGGTGGTGGTATTATGATACAGTAAGCCCATAACTTACATGGGGGGGTTACGTTCTGGGGCTTGTGCCTAAAGCCAAAATCACGTATGGTTAAATGCATTGAGCTCAGTGGTGGGTAGGACTGTCAAAAGTATTTTCTCCAGGCGCCAGACCCCTTTCTATTATTTATTTCTTCTTTTGGCCAAGCACATAAAACTGAATGCACACAAGTTAAAAGCGTGTAAGCGGTGGGTTTGCTGTATATATTTCTGGCCACAATTAGCACTACAGAGGAGGTCCTGCCATACAATCTGGCTTGTGGTCAGCCCTGCTCACTCCCCATTTCCCCCCCTCCATTGTAGCTCTAGGGTTCACTCTCACAGTTTCATCTTCTCCAGCTAACTTCGAAAACCATCCTATCCACCAACAAGGATAGGATGCTTGGGGGCAATTGGGTCAACCGCCATGGTCATTTCCCCCCATCCCAGATGAAATATACTCAAGAGTGGATTTCATGCTCTTTATTCAGCTCATAGTGGTGAGGAGGAATGGAAGTTCCCCCAGCATGTCTGCTTTATATACATTATTTATACAATGGGCCCCACGTGATTGGCTAATTCCAGGATTCTCCTGTTGGCCAATCAGGTTGTGGATTCACTGCCACCTGGAGCTGGATTGGGTGGCTCCTGCGGACCAATCAGACTGCTGCATTCTGGATCCTATTGTTCTAGGACCAATCAGACTGCTGCATTTTGGATCCTATTCAACTCAGTACATAACACCAGAGTTCAACAACAAGGGCATTGTGGCGACCAGTGGTGTCACTAGGGGCTTGAAGGATCCGGCGCACAGGCCTATGAGATAAATTTGCATGGGTCTGTGTTTTTCCGACAGTAGGTCACCCTTGAGTCATTCTCAGGCAAGGCCACAGCTTGCCAGGTGTCATTTCACTTGCCTGTCCTGCCCCCTAGCTGTGCCTGCTGTCTGGAGCAATGCCAGCAGCTGCATACTCCTTGCATGCTGAGTAAAGGTCAGGTGGCGAGGAGGGAAGGGGAAGAGCTGGTAGAGAACCTGCTCTGCAAGCCTGCAGAGCTGCTGTCAGAGTAGGCAGTACCAAGATAGATGGACCAATGGTCTGAGACTTTGTATAAGGCAGCTTCCTATGTCTCCATCTTTGGAGGGGAAAGGGCCAGAGGAGGAGGTGTTGAAGGAAATAATAGAGAAATGAAGGTTTCATATTTCTAATGTTATTAATAAACAAAAGAGGGAGTAGAAAGGAAAGGCATAAGAGGAAAGCTGTTGTAGGAGGAAGAAGCTAATGTAAAAGAATCAGGGGAGAGGGACGGAAGAAACTGTCAGGTATTTTGGGCAGGGGGAATTAAGGTAACAGGTTCAGTTTGAAAGGAAAATGGGAGAAGAAGTTGCTCTCATTGGAGCTGCTACTGTGTGGATGTTACCACTCAGCAGACATGTAAAGAGCTGCGCTCCAAAACTCCATGCGGACTTGAGGGGCCAGTCTCATTGCGGTGAACATAATTTGCTCCCATGAGTAACTGTGTGATTTACGAGGGAATAATGTTTATACCATTGTTATTATTATTATTATCTTTTTTGTTTTTTTGAAACAGAAGTTTTATTGATTTTCAGTGCATAAACGCCATTACCAAGAGTTTTCCTCCAGATCTGTTTTGTTTTGTTTTTTTATGATGTATTTTCCCCCTTCTTATTCTACTTGTGTTCCTAGAACTGATCTGGTCTTATCTTGTACGTAAACAGCCCTGTGAACTTTCAATGAAGGGCGGTATATACATTTAAATCCATGAATTGCGCTCAAGGGGTGCTTGCTTCCCATCAAACGCGCGCAGGACCGGGGCTATAAGCGGCACGTGTTGACTGAACGCCGCGGAACGCTCGGCAGCAACGGCGCACGCCCGGTGGGAGGACGCGAAGCCAGAGGAGAGACTTCCGCCCTTAGCGCCTGCCCTACTTCTGGTTTCCTTGCCTGGCGGGCAAGCTGGTTGCCGGGGCAACGAGGAAGCGGCGCGGCCTACTCCGGTGTGTCCGCAGGGCTTACCGCTCCCTCCGTCTCCGCGCTGCTCTGCTCACCTCCTGCTTGGGTGAGTGAGCGCCTCAGTTACCGGGGAGTAAGCGTTACTCGGCGAGGGCTTACTTCTTACGCCTGAAACCCTGGGGCAGAGCAGCTGCCTGTCAGTGTCGGCACTACTGACCTAGATAGCGCAGTGGGTCTTGGCATGAGGCAGTTCCACGGGTCCCTGCGTTTCGCTCTCTGAGGCAAGCAAGGCGCTTGGCTCAGCGATGGCCTGCTTTCTGCCACAAAAGTAAAGCCCCGTTGCTTTGGCTTAGCAGATTCCAGCCGGGCTGCTGAAGTTTATTTTCATTTATTTCGCCTCCCTGGGAGAACCAGAGGCAAAGGAGATGAACATGGGGCCTTGTATTTTAATGGTTATGTGAAGAAGGGAGTGGATTGGGGCAGGGGCAGTGCTTTTTCTCACCTGTAACTTGCAAAATATTCATATTATTTTGTGCATTTGTGATTACACTTTTGCCACACTCTTCCTTCAGGAAGCTCTGTGTGCATAGTTATCCCTCCCCTTTTTTCGGCCCTGTATACAGTGATACCTCGGGTTACAGACGTTTCAAGTTATATACACGTCAGGTTACAGACTCCACTAACCCAGAAATAGTGCTTCAGGTTAAGAACTTTGCTTCAGGATGAGAACAGAAATCGTGCTCTGGCGGCGCAGCAGCAGCAAGAGGCCCCATTAGCTAAAGTGGTGCTTCAGGTTAAGAACAGTTTCAGGTTAAGTACGGACCTCCGGAACGAATTAAGTACTTAACCCAAGGTACCACTGTACTTGAAGGAGCATCTCCACCCCCCTCGTCCAGCCCGGACACTGAGGTCCAGCTCCAAGGGCCTTCTGGCGGTTTCCTCACTGTGAGAAGTGAAGTTGCAGGGAACTAGACAGAGGGCCTTCTCAGTAGTGGCGCCTGCCCTGTGGAATGCCTTGCCATCAGATGTCAAGGAAATAAACAACTATCTGACTTTTAGAAGACATCTGAAGTTCAGGGAGGGTTTTGATGTTGTATTGTGTTTTACTCTGTTCGAAGCCGCCTTATTATTATTATTATTATTAATTCTCACATAAACCCTGAGATAGTTTAGGCTGAGAGAGAGAGAGAGACTGGGCCATGAGTTTCATAGCTGAGAGAGGATTTGAACCTGGATCTCCTTGCTTAACACACTAAACTCTACACCATGTTTATAAGATGGGAGGTGAGATAGGTGAGGCAGCTACCAGCTGCTGCTACTACTGGATACTTTCCTCCCCTGCTTACAGTACATAGGAACTTGCCTTACACCAGGGATGAGGAAACGGTGGCCCTCCAGATGTTGGGCTACAACTCCCATCATCCCTGACCATGGTCCATCCTGGCAGGGGCTCATGGGAACTGGAGTCCAACAATATCTGGCGGGCCGCAGGACCCTTGCAGAGTCACACTGTGCTTCCATCTGGCATAGTCCTTTCTATTGTGACCGGTGACTAATATGCACAGGTGAGGTAATCTGTTTTTAGTCCAATGAGCTTTATGAAAATGAGGATTGGTTCCCTTTTTACTGTAGTATCCCGCGTCCATGTTTTACAGCATGAGGGGAGCTGGTGGGAGTGGCTATAGTATACTGTAGATGGAGTCTTCCTTCCCCCTTATATTATCCCCAAAGCTTGGTGTTTCTGAAAAATTCAGAGTAAATCTTCTAAAGCACCTCTTTTTCTTGATATGTAGGACAGGAGAGGTAGTATCTGTTGGTGCCTTGGACTCAGCCCAATCAATGTAGTAGGTAACCATCATTGTGAGTGTATATGCTTCAAAACTCCTGCAGCAGCCACCTTCTATCTTCTGCCCACATCAGTGCACTAGCAGCATCCTTGTGGGTCAGGTGTCAGACTCTGTCCCACAAACAGCTGATTTTTTTGTGTCCATGTTATAGCTGATTGCTTTTGAATGTCTTTCCATGTGCAAATGCTGTTGTCAGATTGTGCTGTTGGGTTGGAATATTGTACACCTGCCATTTGAGCTGCCAAAGCAAAACACAAGCAAGGCAGGTCATACTGGGGAATTTTCATCTCAAACTTATAATCAGTTTTGTCTGTTTATAATCTTTTTAACAGTTTTGTGTGCCAGTCTTGCAAATCTGTATTTAAACCATAGAAGAATATGGACCGACATATTCCTGTGCATCCGCTACCTGAGGAAATACGAAAGGTATGCTACAGTGAGCAAACTTGGCAGTTTTGCTTTCTGGTATATTTTATTTATTTTATTTGTCTGCGGTTTGTTGTCATGTCCATAACAGAACTATTGCCATAGTTCCATTATGTCTGTTGCTCCTCAATATATATTAATATTTGCACATGCGTGCTGCATCTTGGAATTGTGTGGCTGGGATTTTTGAAGAAATTATATTGCGCAAATAAACCCATGCACACACACCCAAAATTTGACAGATTGTGGAATCAGTTGGAGAAAAAAGGAACCTTGAGATGGGAGGGTTTGTAAAGCAGCCAGATTTAGCTTCTGCCAACTAAAAGCTATTTGGAAATGAAAGGGTTTGATAACGAAGGAGGAAGACTAGAAAGTTGGCCAGGCAGAAGGATGATATGGGTCTTATGTCCTCTGAATTACAGAAAGGTTTTTTTCTCTTTAATGAGTCACAGGTTTCAACAGGGGCTCAGCTCCATTGGGAAAGAAAAAATGCTTTACAGTATATTTGTTGTTTATGCATTCTAACAGTGTGACACCAGATGGCGCTGTGGAGTTCTGTTTTTGCTAACCTGATTTCTCATGCAAACTTTGCAACTTCTTTGATGTGTCTAGAATCCAGCCCGTGAGAATTTTAAAAGTATAACATAAATAGCACTAGATCATTGAATGCAGTGCAGACTGTGCTCTTTTAGGATTGCTGGTATCCCGATTGTGCAAAATACGACTAATACACCATTAGAAGAGAAGAATCTTGCTTTAGACAGATATAAATATTTTCTTCCTCATGTTTAAAATACTCAAAAGTGACTGACATGTAATAGCAGCATAGGGAATGATTTTATCTTTCTCTCTCAACCCATTCCCTCAATAGCAAACCTCTGTGCACTTAAAGAGATTCCATTTGACAGCCTTTTTCCACATGCTCAGTAATGTGTGATGCGCATGCATTACTGAACATGGAGGAGGGACTGGCGCAAAAGATCCAGAGATCAAAAGTATAAATTATCTTGAGCGATAGAATAAAAATAATTATAAATTAGTGAAAGAACAACAGTAGACGCACAAAAACCACTTACTAATTAAAATATATAGAATGCATTTCTGTGAAGACCTGCACGTGATACGTATATGGCTTTTCTTACTAGTATACATTCATATGCCATACTGTTTGGAGAAGATGTTAAGAAATAAAGTCATATTTGTAATGGCATGCTGTTTGTGCCATGTCAAATTAAGAAGCACTATTTATGTTGGTTTTGAAGCCCTTAGTAGCTGTATAACAAGAACTGCAGATAGAAGTTGTTAATGAGGCAGCATTTTGCAATTATTCCAGGGCAGTGAGAAAAATGACCAAAAAAAAAAAAAAAAAAAAATGGAAATTGAGTGAAACCTGAATATGCTAGTTATAGAAGAATTCCTTTGTTTCAGTTCAGTTTTTAAATGTAAATCATGCAATGAGATAAAGTACTCTGTACAAGCCAGTGTTTTTGGAAAGATAATTGACTGTATTTCAACAGAAATTGTAGTGTTTTCATATGGCTGTTTTTGAACAAATGCCAAATAATTAAAAATGACACTTCATTTCCCCTTTTAAGCCCTGGCAGAGAGAAGCCAAATTACCATTTTATCATGCCTACTAGAGACTGATACTTAGGAGGGATTGAACGAGAGTGGGACAGGACTTTGAAGTACAGTAATTTTGCAAAATAGATGAAAGGGGGCTGAGGAGTAAGAAATAAAGAAAAATAACAGTAGCCTGGAAAATGAGGACACTTTGATTTATATTGATTTTATATCAAGTTTTTTTGTGCTTCCCATTGCTGGATTTTCTGCAGCCATTTCAAGAAAACATTATATATCTAAGGGCTTCATTCAATGGTTTAGCATTAATGAGCAAACATGCAGGTTCCTATGGAGAAGATCACAGCCGCTTTGCTCCACCTCTGGTCTTGTTACTGTGGTGCTTCTGTGAACTGTTTTAGCATTATGCCCAACCCAGGCCTGTGATTCATCTTATTCCAGTCAAAATACAAGCCATGATCTGTCTGGGAGCCTGCTTGTTTGCACAAAGCTCTGTTAGTATGTACCCACAAACTGGGTAACTGTATCTGCTTGCACTGTGTAATAACAGTATTCAGTTATAATGTTCTTGATGTGTAACTTATCTATTTCATTGTATTGGCAATACAGTCATGTCTAAGCCTGTGATCCTATACCTTTTGGATAAATCCCAGTGGGATTCACTTCTGACATGGGTATCATATATGATCGCACTGCACATTTTTCAGCAGCCTTATAAAACAGGAATTATAATTCTGAAAGTTAAAATGAAAAGGCTTTACATGTAAATATTTTGCAACTATCTTTCAGTATGAGATGTCTTTAAATATGACTATGGATACCAGAGTACACATTTTAAAAACAGATGTGGGGATGGGAACAGGATACAGTGGCACATGAGAGATTTGTGTAATGCATAATGTGTCACAAGCCTGTTGGCATTTCATTTTTTTAAATGCAAGATTGAAGAAGTAATACTTTCATTATTAAAGAGGGATTAGTATTCCAGTTTTCTGCCATATATAATAATTCTTAATTGAACAAGGGAGATTTGTGCAAGCTTCCACTCATAGATTCCCTCGCTGGAAGAGGATCTGCATGTGCATTCAGAAAATATTTACTACCTGTTGTTAGATCAGGGACTGCACTTGCAGAGTTCTGAAGCAGGTAATTGGTCCTATTAAACCTGACAGCACAAATTACCTGGAGGGGTAGGAGGGTCTTTCATAATGCATTGCGGGGAGTGGAATAAGAGCTATACTAAAATTGTGAGTCATAGAATTGTAGCGTTGGAAGGGATCCAAAGGGTCATCTAGGCCAACCTCCTGTAATGCAAGAATCTCAGCTAGATCATAAGTGACAGATAGCTTTTCAGCCTCTGCTTGAAAACCTCCAAGGTCTCATGGGAGTCTGTTCTACTGTCAAACAGCTCTTGCTGTCAGAAAGTTCTTCCTGATGTTTAGTTGGAATCTCCTTTCTTGTAACTTGAAGCCACTGTTCGCGTTCTTGCCTCCAGAGCAGGAGAAAACCCTTGATCATCTTGGTCACCCTCCTCTGCACATAATCCAGTTTGTCAATATCCTCCTTAAATTGTAGCACCCAGAACTGGACATAGTGTAGTCTGGCCAAGGCAGAATAAGACAGGACTATGACTTCCCTTCAGCTGGACATTATATTTCTGCTGATACAACCTAGAATAGCATTAGCAACTTTTTTGTGTGTGTGCTGCTGCTGCATCACACTGTTGGCTCATGTTAAGCTTATGTTCTACTTACTAAGACCCCATGATCCTTTTCACATGTAGTACAGGCAGTGCAGTACTTTGCTACAAGTACTGATTCCTTTAACCTTTTAAACAATATTTATTCCTGTGTTTCTGTGTGAAGTAGTGCCAGTTCCAGGGGGCCTTGGGCAAGATAGCTGATCCTCCACTCACGCTGTACCCATCTCCTTCTCCTCCCCACTGTTGCTATATCCATTTGCTTCCCTCTCCCCACCTCGGGCCAAATCCTCACCAACCTCCAGAGAAAGAGAAAGGGAGATGTTAAGTTGTGCAGTGGTCACTGCTGCTTCTCATTCTTTTCTCTGCTTGCTTGGCGAAGACAGGTGAACAGGCAGCAGCAGGAAGATGAGGAACATCACAAGAGCCAGGAGTCTCCAGGGATTGGAATCAGGCCCCCTACTGGGGCTTGATGAGCCTTGGCAGGTCTCCACGATGCTGACCTCTGACTCAATCCCTGGTTTGAAGCAATGTCTATAAGGAAGTAAACTTCTGTTTATAACACAGTTATACTTATCTCCATTTAACCCAAGGGATGGATTCTTGGTTGGATTGTGATAAAACAATACTGAGTTTGTTTCTCCGAGTGCTTTCAGTTAGTACTGGGATAGGGAACCTACAGCCCACAGACATGGCGTGGCGTAGAAAGGAAGAGAGAGATGGGATGGCAGAGAGGTTTAGAAAGAGCAATGAAATCCTGAAAGGCTGCAAAGTTCCTGCCTCTCTTGATTTTTCCTGTGAATCATCAGCGCTTCGTGGGCCAAAGGTTTCACAGCCTTGATTTTGTACATCATTACTTGGTGCCAATAGAAGAAAAACTTAAGAAGGGTCCTGGTGAATCAGGTCAAAGGCCCATCCGGTCCAGCATCCTTTTCTCACAATGGCCAATTAGATGTCTAAGGGAACCCTACAAGTAAATTCCTTTGCTTTCTCAAAACTCTCCTGCTTTTTATGGACAACCCTTAGCATTTTCTGTTCCATGTCCTTCTGTCCCCAGGTCCCTCCCCACCTTAACTCAGCATTCTAGCCTAATGGATCCTCCATGGGCAGGGCAACATATTTGTGAATGGTGGGGATATACAAATAAAAGGCTTAAACACACGCACGCCTGATGTCATGTTATCCCAGCCTCCCCTATATTCCAATTATGTGTAACATAACAAATTGGAATTGTTGCTGTATAATGTGCAATCTGGACAAGAGTAGGGTCCTTTGTCACTTCAGAAATCATAGGCACAGACCTGGCAGATGCGGCTCAAATGCATGTTAAGTTGTGATCAAATTGATCCATTATGTTGCCTATGCTTAAAATGTATTATTGGCACTTTTAATCATACTTTAATCAGAGAGCAGTTAAGTTACTTGTGCTTGAAGCATGTACGGTATATGGAGAACTAAAATCTTGACAAGTGTCAGAGTGAGTCCCAAGATGCCCACCCCCTGCCCACCCACCCCCATGAGAGATTAGGGATATACAGTGAAAGGTACAATCAAGTTCTCGAAGAGCAAGGAAGATGAGCCTGTGATAATTCTCAACTAAATACAACCAGTTTCGTTAGCAATGCTAAAAGCATCTTGTTCATTTTAGGAACTATAATGTAATTAACACTTCTGTGACATTTCCAGATAGACCGCAAGCAGGATCCCCCCCCCGCCCCCGCCTTGCTCCCTCTCCACTGCCCTGCTCATACTGGAGACATGAAGTGGAATGTCTAAAACTGTTTATTTTGAAAGACAGAAGCAGTGATGCTGCAAGAAATCACAATGTTCTTTTTGGGATAACAGTCCCTCCCTTCCCTTCACATTACAGCTCAGTTTGTCCCCTTTCAATAAGTAATTTAAGTACTTTGGAACCTTATGGTATTTATTCTGAATAACAGTTTCATATTTCCAAGCACAGGTTGTAACTGCCAGGAAAAACAGAATTAATTTTTCATTTCCTTCAGAGCCACTGTAGCTATGATCAGGCTTCACGAGGCAAAAAGAAGAATTAGGATAAATAAAGGCTGGCATAGTAGTCCTGGAGCCAACATCTCAGACGCATAGTTTTATCAAAGAATAGTTAAAATGCATAGCACTGAGGTATGGCATTGGAATGCTTAATTTGGTTATGGCTTGTCTCATAATTACATCTTATTAGTGTTCATTGTTTTGACTGCTGCAAAGCTTGACTGTCTTTTCTTCCCTTTTGCTTACATTTGAATCTCTTTCCCTCCCCCTTCTTCACAGGAAGCTTTCTTATCAGATAACAGTCATCCCTCTTCTCTCAAAGGCTTTGAGTGGAATATAAAATTAAAATAATTGTAGTATAGTCAAAGTGTTTCTTCATTCATGGAAATATGATGAGTTATATATGCTGTGGGGTGGTTTGTTTGGGTTTTTTTTGGGGGGGGGGTTACAATCTATTTGATAATTTGATGACAGGTCCTGTCCCAACATGGTTTTGGGTAAATAATCATGCAATTAGTTCAGCATTATAAATGCTTTACTGGTTTGTGTGGTGATTTAGGCTGGATACATATTGCCAATTCCCTTTGGTGACCATTGGTGATCTTAGAAGATTCAACTTGCATTGCTTGATAGGAGGCCTCTTTAGGTTGCTCCTTGCTTCTGCTTGCCCCATTAATTATGTTTCCCTTCCATGTGCCTTTGCTCATCTGATGACTAGCCTCCCCTATTTGTCTCAAATTGCCATTTCTTCCACTACTCCGTATTTCTCTATCCTACCTACCCTTCAGAACCCTAAACTGCCTTCACTGACTGGGTTTGCAGAGTTGCTGGAGGTTATTGTAATGGCTGCATGACATTACGTATGATCACTCAATGTTTAGAGGCCATATGCTTCTAAGTACAAGATACTGGGGGCAAGCAAATGAGAAAGCTATCACTGCCATGCTTTTCTTGTGAGCTGCCTACCTGTGTTGGTCTAATCTTGCAATACAGTTGTTATGTTCCCTTCAAGAACATTGTTTAAGCTAAAGTCTGGTGCTGGTGTTTGTATGATTGTCTCCACAATAGCAAGGTTTCTTAGGTGTTTAAAAAGTAACATGGTCCGGTGGCCTGTGCACATGCAGGAGGGATTCATGCTGTATCATATTTTTATTTTTGGGTTGTCCTCCAGGTGGTGAATTGGTTTGGGGGGGGTGTAGGGAGGACATCACCAGACCTGTTACCAGGACTGGCTCCTGAGTGCTAAACCATAGTTTGCTGAGAACTTTTGTTACATCTGCACCAGATTCAAATTATCATTTGGCAGATTCTGGTAGCTTTAGAATTCAAATGTTTTTGATAAGGGTACCCTAGGAGCACAGATAGAAGCATGTGTGCTCACATGGAAGTTCTATGGTTCTTGCCCTCTTTTCTCAAGGTAAAATTTTGCATGTCGTTAATATACCTAAAATAATCCTACATGCTTGAGTAATGTTGTTTCAGTACTTCTGTTTCTGCACATACACACAAGCAGGAGTAATTAAATTGAGTTGTGATTTGCAGGGGAGAATTACTGAACTGAAAGTGTAGGGGGAACAAAGTTATGCTGCAGGGCTTATATATATATATATTTTTGTAAGAAACTCAGCTTCACCCAAATAAGTAATTGTGTGCTGAAATACATCCTGTGTAGATGATTAATAATCCCACACCTGCCAGATTTCATAGTTTCTGTGTGACTCATAAGTGACACGTGCAGTGCATCACATGATGCTCTCTATGAACACTACCCTAATCATGGTTTTGGTGGACCGCAGATGTGGTTTTGTCAGGCAAGAGATGATAATTCATTTGTCTGAAGTGCTCCAAAGGAGTCAATAACTCAGTATCTTGATTTTTTTTAAAAAAAACCCTTTTAAAGAACAAAAGAGAGCACAAGTAGAAAGAGTGCTGTTGCTTGCAGTCTTCCTGCCGGCATCTGATTGGCCACTATGAGAACAGGATGCTGGACTAGATGAACCTTTGGTCTGATCCAGCAGGGCTCTTCTTACGAGAAATGCTTCCTCCCCTTGTTAGGTTATGTGGAGACCTGATGGAGACCTTTCACAACTTGCAGTATCTTTTAACCAGGGGTTGGAGATATGGCCCTGCCCCAGTTGCCTGAGCGCCACCATGTTCTATTTTTCTGTTGTCATCTCCCGCTGGTTGCAGCAACTAACAGATGGCAAAGGCAGAGTTGGAAGACTGGAACACAGCAACTCCCAACAGAAGACACTGTTCCCACTGTAGAAATGGCTTCTCTGTCTCTACAGTAATTCTGTTCAGAAGCAACACCCACCTACATGTTGCTACAGCTAGCAGGGAAAGGGAACAGGAGAGCCTCCCCAAATAGAAATTCCCACTCGCAGGGGCTCAGATGATCTTTGCTGTTTACAAGTAGCAAGACTCTTCTTCTTTTTGGTCAGATTTTAATCTCTGTTTTGTTTCTTCATTGGCTAATATAGCAAACAGTTTAATTGATGGGGGAAGCAGCTGTGATTTCTTGTTCTGCTGCCCCCTAGACTTTTTTTTAATGCTACTATATCCAGTTGGGAAAGGGATGTAGCTCACTGCTAGAGCACATCCTTTGTATGCAGAAGATCCCAGGATAGCTCAGTTGGTTACAGTATGGTGCTGATAATGCCAAGGCTGCAGGTTCGATCCCTGTGTGGGACAGCTGCATATTCCTGCATTGCAGGGGGTTGAACCAGATGATCCTCAGGTTCCCTTCCAACTCTACAATTCTGTGATTCTATGGACTCAGCTATACAGCTGCAAATATGTTTTAAGTGCATTATACAAATGTGACACTAGATGGTGATGATGAGCTTATAGCAAATCAATACATTTTTCAAAACGCTAAAAAAAGGCATTTTCACAGCGGTTTTTTTATAGGTGTCTAGATTCCACCTATGACTCTAGTCAGAGATCCCAGAGATTCATTGCCCGTCAAAGTAAACAATTGAGGCTTGATGTTCCAGTGGCCTAACTCAGCTTTGTATGTGATTTGCTACTTCACTTCATTTAATCCGTTCTCTAAATATATTGTTTACCATTTCCCTTCTAGATGTCCCGGGAAGAGACAGTGTGTAAATATTGCGGAGTCAGTTATTTGATCCTCCATGAGTTTAAGCTGCTGGAAGAGAAAGTAAAAGCAATGGAAGTGAAGGTGAAGTTTTATGAAGGCAGCATAGAACGGGAGAAAACACTTCAAGAGAAACTACAGCAGCTAAATCAAGATTTTGAACAGTGTGCAGCAGCTAGCAAATCAAAAAGAGAAAGGTTGGAATGTGCTATTCATCCTTGTTTTTTAAAAAGTAACATACTCATTAATGTCATTCAAGGAAAAGCAAACTTTGGCTGTCTTGCCAGACCCAGCTTGCATCCCGATGAATTCATGTTCATTAAACCATAGTTTGACTGATTCTTTAGAGGTCAGTGTCTGTTCCTTGAATTGTTTAGTACCAGTCAGTAATGTCATGGTAGGAAAGTTATTTTAAAGTCTGCTGTCATCAGAGGTGAAACTCTAGTTTAATAATTTTCTTAGCAACCTAAAGGTTTGTTGTGAAAAAGACAGGTGAGAATATGATTTTGCCCTTCCAGCTGTAACATGGGAAATTCGAACTCAGTCATGGGTTGGTTTGCGAATCAGGAGCCAACATAGACAAGAGTTTCCCCACTTCCTTTTTGATATAAACACCCCCTTTCCCTCCCTTGTCGGCTTTAACTATGGTTTAGTGTTACATCTGCACTAACACCAACGATGGTAACCGCTTACCAGGGTTGCAATCTTCACCAGAACTTGAAGCTAGGGTTGAAACAGATTTGCAAACTCAGAGAAGTTGGTTAATGTTAAGCATTTGATATAATTCCAAACTTTGAGACTCCAGGAGGGGAAAAGGAAATTGTATGAGAGAGGTGATGAGGGAGGGGGGAAAGGAGTGCACGTCATATGGACTAGCTTCTGAGTTCATGTTACACAGAAACATAGAAAGCTGGTTTGCAGGCAGCCATTGTCACATCTACACTGAACACTAATGTCATTTGGCCAGTACTGGTAGCTTTAGGTTACAAATCCTAATGCAGATAACACACCTGGCTGAAAAAGAAATACCCCTGTACTTGTTTAATTGTATTGAAATGCGAAAGTTTTATCACTCACAACACTGGTCTCTAAAAATCTTTTTGTGGCACCAGATAGACTAGTTATGACATGAGCAATCTCAGCAAATAATAATAATACCTAGCATTTGAATTGGAAAGTTGGAAGCACTTCATACATTATCTTAGTAAAACAGTTCTGTAAGGTAGGATAAGAATGATTATGAATGATTCCTTAGAATGGCTTTCTAGTCTAGATTTGCAGTGGCTTGTGTTTCCCATTACAGGTGGTTGTTTCTTTGTTTTTCTGCCACTCACCTCTACTTCCACATCTATTAAGATAGTTCTTGGCATCATAATCTTGAAAAATAACAGCATCAGAAAGCCTTATTAGAGGAAACAAGGGTGGGATTGGGTAAATGTGCAGGGCCAGGATCCATTGTATGATAACTAAGGCAGGAACAACAGGACATCAAAACTCAGAGGGGAAAAGGTTAAAAAGAATAGGTTTGAGGCCTGGGTGGACATTTGAGGAAGTGCCTTGTGTACAAAAGATAAGGGGCTATTGATCTTTTCTCTTGAATGCACTGCATTTGGAGCCCAGGTGTTGCCAGACAATTGAGCTGTGGACTTTTCTCCAATTTACAAAGGAAGAGTGCAAAGGTCCTTGAGGCAAGAAACACCTGAAGCAGGAGTGGAGGGGATCTCATTGGGTAATAAGCCTTGCTAATCACCAGGGGACTCCTGTTTGAGAGCCCCAGCATTAACTGATTTGGCCTTGTTGATCTATGAAGTTTGGTAAGCTGGTTTCATGTTGATTGAATGGAATATGTGTTTACATTCTTTTAAAGTTGCTAGCTGTAGAGCTATGATCTAGCAGGGCCCAGCCGGATATAGGAGTGCTATCTTTGTGAAGTGTGGATCTGGATTTGTACCCCTTCTTCATATATTTGAATGACATTTGATGAACGTGTGACCTCTGACTTGGGTACCCTCAGTGTGACTCATTCTCAGAAAAGGCTTGCAGATAGCGCAGCTGGAGGTTTTTATCAAGCACGCAGGATCCTGTAGGCTGTGTTATCTGTTTCAGCAGGTCATACCATGTGGGAAAAAGAAATAGTTCTGATTGTTTTGAAAGTACATTTTTGGAAACAGAGCTATTCTCCTAAAACTAGTGTTTCACAAAGCATGGATGTCTCTTTACTCTTTCGAGCTAATATGCAAACTTGCTGGTCAGCAGACAGCTCAGGTTTTTTGCATGGGAACATGCTTCTCAATATAGTTATTTAGTCAGGGGTAGATGTTATTCTATAATTGGATTTACTGATATTTCTGTCCTACAAACTCCTGTGTATAATTTTAATATGTAATCTGAAAGCTGTCACTTGTGTTTCATATATGTAGATATAACCTAGTGCCAGAAGCATGAGAAACATCATTGTTTTCCTTTTCAATGTATTGTTTTAAATTTAGCTGACTGAGCTTTATCTGACCCATATCTTTGTCAATGTGCTTATCGGCATGTATGTCCTCCCTGAAGGAGGAAATGTTGTGTCTGACAACCCTAGACTGTGAGACTGTGCTATTCTTTTCCAGTGGTTTGCACTACGGTAAGAGAAAACTTGCTGCTACAGTGGTACCTCTGGTTACGTCCTTAATTCGTTCCGGAGGCCCGTTCTTAACCTGAAACTGTTCTTAACCTGAGGTACCACTTTAGCTAATGGTGCCTCACACTGCAGCTGCGCAATTTCTGTTCTCATCCTGAGGTAAAGTTCTTAACTTGAGGTACTTCTTCCAGGTTAGTGGAGTCTGTAACCCAAAGTGTTTGTAATCCGAGGTACCACTGTAGTCCAAAGCCAATTCCAGACACAAGAAACTTAATATGTTCCTTGTTTTGAACAACTGCTAAGCAAAACTCAGAGTCACTTAAACTCTAGAAAGAAACGGGCAAACCTAGCACAAGATGGCTTGCACACAGACAGGAAAATTACAAAGCTCAGAGCCAAACACATTTGTGATTCTGAGAAGGATTTCTTTTACACAATTATCACCTTATGTCACTGAAAAACCTGATAAGATACAACAGTAACCCTGATTAAACAGTATTATTCTTCTAGGCACTGTATTTTAGTGTTTGCATATATTAATAAATCAATGCCTCCAAAAATATTATTGAAGGAATTGCTTTGTGTTGAATAAGATTATATCAATACAAATCACAGTTTCAGATGACTGACAAATCATGATTCAGAATTCTACTTATTTTGCACATCAAATATCTGTATACTTGCTAATCTAAGACTAATTTTATTTATTTTAAAAATGTAGCCACTTTCCAGCTTTCAATTTCTCCACTGATTGTGTGTGCATGTGAAGTAGTCAAGTTTGCCATTGCCTGTGATATACAATACATAGGTAAAGGGGTAAAGGGACCCCTGACCATTAGGTCCAGTCGTGACCGACTCTGGGGTTGCGGCACTCATCTCGCTTTATTGGCTGAGGGAGCCAGTGTACAGCTTCCAGGTCATGTGGCCAGCATGACTAAGCCGCTTCTGGCGAACCAGAGCAGCGCACGGAAATGCCATTTACCTTCCCGCTGGAGCGGTACCTATTTATCTACTTGCACTTTGATGTGCTTTCAAACTGCTAGGTTGGCAGGAGCAGGGACCGAGCAATGGGAGCTCACCCCGTCGTGGGAATTCGAACCGCCAACCTTCCGATCAGCAAGTCCTAGGCTCTTTGGTTTAACCCACAGCGCCACCCACGTCCATACAATACATAGGCCTGGCCAATTAGCTCTGTGCACCCAGGGCAGCTTTGGGGTGTGTTTCTGGAAGATCAGCCCATGCTGCAGGGAAATCAACTTTTGAAACTGTCATTGCATAGGAATGCTGTTCAAAAGCAGGAGGTGTTGGGTAGAGAAATCCTGCCAGCCTAGGCTTCTCTACAGATGGTTCCCAACTACACTTCTCATCTACCTTTGGAAGCAGGCCTTCAGTTTCTTTATGTGTGCAAATACAAGTCTGTGTATGAAATTGAAAATGAATGTGGTCGCTAAGGTCCCCTAGCAAGATTGTATGGTGTTTGCTAACCATTTACACAGCCTTGAGGAAGGACCCGTCATTTTTTCCTGGATTAGATGCCTGCTGACCTCTTTTCTCCTGCCTTCTATTTTCCTTATCAGCACTGGTTCTCAAGATATCTCGCTTTGTGCCCATTTATCCTGTGTTTATCAGATGACCATATGCTGGCTGTGATAGCAAGATGTTCAGTTTCACAGTTTATGTGAACTGTGCAAGTGCAGAGGAGATCAGCATGTTCTTAGTTGTTATCCCCCCCCCTTTAGTGCCCAGAGTTAATTATCCATGGAGCATAGTATCCTTTTCATGGTTTCATGTGCTAAAAATTAGGAAAGTGACAAAGAGTTTTCTTTCTCCAGTTTGACTTTTTGATGTGGGAAACACAGCCAGGAGGACATGGTTTTGTTGCACATTTGAACCAAAAAAATTATAACCAACCTTTGTCATTAAAGCACTGTGCTTTCCCTTGACACCAAGATGCACTGTTCAAGTTGTTATGACTTACCAGTATTTTCATACTCTCATAGAGTCAAATAAATATATTGCTGAGAAAAGCAGGCAGGTCTTAAGAAAATGAAGTAATCTCATCTGTTATGAACAGGCCTGTGAGGGGCAGTTTGAGGGGAGCATATCACGACTCAGCAGTTGACCATATGTTTACATGCAGCAGGTCCCATGTTTAATCCTTGGTTTCTCTCCAGTTAAAAACATCTCAGACTAATGGACCAGAGGTGGTTTGTCTCAGTATTCAGCAGCTGCAGCTTCATAGAAGTTTGAGGAGTCTGACTTTCTTCCTCAGAAGCCTAAGAAACAAAAAACTCTTCTGGAAGGTACTTGATTTAGGTCTTCACAGCAAAACAACCAGAAGTCCTGCAGCACCTTAAAGGCTTGTTTTATTTAAAGCAGTGGTTCTCAAACTTTATTCTCTGGGCCACACTTTCAGGGGGGAAATTTGCTTGCACCACACCAAATTTCTTATTTTTAAGAAATACATTGGAGAACAAAAAGATCTCAACTAGGATTGTCCTCAGTATCACGTGATGCTCCTGCTCTCATTTTGAAAAGATCTATCCATATTGTGCAAAAAAATAATAATCATACTATACTGTACTATACTGAAATGTTTAAATGCTTCTTTGATTGTCTTTGAATCTTCCTGCCACACTTGCCATCCTCCCCTGCCACACCTTTTGAGAACCACTGATTTAAAGCATTTTTACCCTGTTCTTCATCTGCAAAGGCTCCCAGTTTGACTTACAACGATTAAAAATAGGACAGTTCTCAGGCTTACAATACTTTGAACAATGACAGCATAAGAAGAACAGGGATTGGGAGGAAGGAGAGGGGAAAGCAAACACAGGCACTAGTTTTCAGTTACAAAGTTCTTATGATGAGCAGCTGGAAAGGAAACAGTTCAAGGAAAGGAGAAGGAGGCCAAAGTTGGTGGCTTATCAACTGAGTTTATAGACTGGGCCTTCTCCTCCCTCCCTCCCTTTGCCTGCAGCCTGATTTAATGGCTGCTGCCAGGTGATAACTGAGGGAGTGGAAAAGCCAGCTGAAGCTGGCTTCTCAGCAGAGCTTATAGAGTGGCCCTGCTTCCCTTAACTGTAACCCAATGGACTATTTAATGGCACAAGCTTTTGTGGACTAGAGTCACCTTGTAAGCTGCATGATTAGTCTAAGACAGGGGTCAGCAAACTTTTTCAGCAGGGGGCCGGTCCACTGTCCCTCAGACCTTGTGGGGGGCCGGACTATATTTTTTTTGGGGGGGGGGGAGAAAAGAAAAAATGAACGAATTCGTATGTCCCACAAATAACCCAGAGATTGTATTTTAAATAAAAATACATATTCTACTCATGTAAAAACACACTGATTCCCGGACCGTGCGCAGGCCGGATTTATAAGGCGATTGGGCTGGATCCACCCCCGGGCCTTAGTTTGCCTACTCATGACTTGGGTAGGCAACCTAAGGCCCGGGGGCCGGATCCAGCACAAGCACTTTCTAAATCCGGCCCGCGGACGATCTGGGAATCAACGTGTTTTTACATGAGTAGAATGTGTCCTTTTATTTACACCTCTGGGTTATTTGTGGGGCCTGCCGGGTGTTTTTACATGAGTAGAATGTGTGCTTTTATTTAAAATGCACCTCTGGGTTATTTGTGGGGCATAGGAATTCGTTCATTTCCCCCCCCCCCAAAATATAGTCTGCCCCCCCCCCACAAGGTCTGAGGGACAGTGGACCGGCCCCCTGCTGAAAAAGTTTGCTGACCCCTGGTCTAAGATGTTACAGAATATTAAACCAGTATCACCCAATCTTAAGCCATGTTTGTCTCTCTTTCACTGAAGGAAGGCAACTTGCAAACGGAAAGTGAAGGAAACTTCCTTCACTTCCCTGGACACTAAGCTTGGGAGAGTGTCCACTACTTTGCCCTTACTCTTACCCCATTGCAAATGGTTTCCCCCAAACAGAGGTTGCAAGGCCACCTGTCATGTACAATCTAGTTGAGATTCCTGCATTGCAGAGGGTTTGACTAGATGACCCTTGGAATCCCTTCCAACTCTGCAATTCTGTATGTTTCCCTGAAAATTCGGGGGGGGGGTTCCCCAGTTCTAGTCTACACCACACTGCCTCTTGGAAATTCAACTATGCCTTGAGAACAGCCACTGTCATGTAAACCTCATGTTTGTTTTCTTTTTTCTCAATCACACTGGGAAATCCTCAAAGAGGTGTGTTCCTACTTGGGAGAAGGAATGGACCAGCCAACTTCAGAAGTGCTGATCTAAAAATAATTGATTATACTCACTTCTTTATTGCACACCCAGTAAGAATTATGTCATGTACAATTTTCAGCTAAACTGGGAGAGCTGGCTGTTCTTTTCAAGGCATTCCCAGGAGATATTTGTCACCCAATCCTGGGAATCAGACAAAAAAAATGCTCTTTTTTTGGCAAAAGAAAATGTGACGAAATTGTTGGTGGTTCATTTTCCTGTTTATTTTTCAAAAGGGACACAGTATGTAATTTATGGGTATCAAATGTTAGCCTGAATCGTTGTAGTAAAATGCTGATGAATATAATTACTTTATAAGGAACAATAAGCTCAGTTCAAGAAGTGTCACTGCAAGTTTTATTAGCTTAAGTAATTCAGTTTTCAAAAGCTACCAGTCTCTGGTGTTGCTAAAGGCCTCTGTTGGCAAGGAATTGCTGGTGTGCATATTAATGGTGTAACCCTATACTTCCTTATTATATTTTATACTGCCTTGAATAAAGATTAGATACATGTGTTTCATTTCAAAAACTTTCAGTATGTTTGATTAAAATGTCCAAGGAGAAGGACATTCAGTTCTGCCTTTAATAATGTTTAACACCTTATTCAGAGGATCCTGCTAACATCGGTCATTTTCATCAAAAGCCTGTTCACACACATTAAATATTAGGGAGAGCTCTCCAGCTGGTGCAAGTCTTCAGTGTACAGATTGCATGTGTTTTATTAAACTAATGTCTTAATCCCATCCTTCTTCCAAAGACAGCCTACATTATACACACCCCCGTCAACAACCCTGTGTGTCAGGTTAGGTAGACAGAATGACTGGTCCAAGATCACTGCGAGCTTCATCATGGAATCCCGGTTTCTTCAGTGGTGGTCTGACTCTCGTAACCACTACCATGCTGGCTCCATACTGTTCTCATTGGCCATTCTGTTTTTTTGAAGTGAAATCTTTTTGGGGTCCAGTCAAGTGGTCAAGGTCAGGCTACTGAAAAATAACATAGGGGCTTCTCCATATTTTGGAGATGCATGAGTACACAGAAATGCATACATTTGTGAATTAAATAAAGTGGTTTTTAGGCGACTAAATCCTACTTGGAGTAGACCCACTGAAATTAATGGACATGATGACATTGTTGTTGTTTAGTCGTTTAGTCGTGTCCGACTTTTCGTGACCCCATGGACCAGAGCACGCCAGGCACTTCTGTCTTCCACTGCCTCCTGCAGTTTGGTCAAACTCATGCTGGTAGCTTCGAGAACACTATCCAACCATCTCGCCCTCTGTTGTCCCCTTCTCCTTGTGCCCTCCATCTTTCCCAACATCAGGGTCTTTTCCAGGGAGTCTTCTCTTCTCATGAGGTGGCCAAAGTATTGGAGCCTCAGCTTCAGGATCTGTCCTTCCAGTGAGCACTCAGGGCTGATTTCCTTAAGAATGGATAGGTTTGATCTTCTTACAGTCCATGGGACTCTCAAGAGTCTCCTCCAGCACCATAATTCAAAAGCATTAATTAGTTCTGTTTATTGCATTGAGGCTGCTCTGAGTAGAGCTTCATGGGATGCAACCCCCTGACTTCTAGCCTGGATAGCTCAGTTAGTTAGAGTGTGGTGCTGATAATGCCAGTGTTGCAGGTTCGATCCCTGTGTGGGACAGCTGCATATTCCAGCATTGCAGGGGATTGAAGTAGATGATCCTCAGGATTCCTCCCAGCTCTATAACTCTATGATTCTATGATTCTCTTAAAAAGTGAAAACTGCTTGATAAGCTATCTAAGGGCATCCAATTGGCAGAAGCTGGACACCAGAGAAAAGGGCACAGCATAAGACTGTGCTATTCACACACAATAGTTCTTACATCCTTTGGATCTGCTGATCACGTCTGGTATTTCAGCACGTTTGCAGCTTCAGTGGGATGTGTTTTATAGGGTAAAGAAATGTACTCCATTGTGAGGGGTTTAACAAGGAACACCAAGGCTAGGGACAAATAGCTTTTTAAAAGTTTGCATGTGATTTAAGAGGTTTCACTTTTCATGTTGTATTATTCACGTAGGAAATTGGTTTTTTATCAGGAAAAGAGCCCTTATTGTCTATCCAGTTTAGCATTGCCTACTCTGACAGCTAGGGACTCTCCAGGGTTTCAGGCAGAGGTTTTTCACATCACTTGCTACCTGATCTTTTTAACTGGAGAAGGTGCTTGTGATCAGACCTGAAACTTTCTGCAAACAAAGCATATGCTGTACCACTGATATGGACCCTCCCCATATTTTCCTTTTGTCCTACTGTTGCCTCAGGTCAAACCAGTTTTGCAGGTTTCTGGAGTACAGAAAACTTGCAAATTGGTTTACCTGAGCTGAAAGTGGGGTAAATTAACACACCAGCTTTTTTCAGCCATTCAGAGCTGGAGATGATGAACATGGTGATGATGCTGGAACACCTTGATAGCAGGCTGCGCTCCCAAACTACACACTGGCTTGCATCCAGACTAAGAGTTGTATCTAGTATGTATCATACTCAGCAGACTCATTGAAATTAATGGACATAACCAACTTGTCCGTTTATTTCGGCACATCTTCTCTGAGTAGAATAGGTGGACCACAACCCCAAATGAGTTGAACTTGGGTCCCGTTGACATCCGTGTAAAAAATCACGGCTAAGTCACCATTAAAATCAACTTAGTGTAGATTCAAGCTGTTCACAAAACACCCCTGTGCATAGTGGACATATGTTGATTTGGGGCAGTGGCTGCCCCCTCCCATGCACATTAATCCCCTTTTGAATGCATGAAAATGGCTAGCATGAATCATTTTCAAACTACCTTCAGCTGCCTTTAAAAAGCCAGTTCTGGTTGTCATGAAGGTACCACAAAGAGATGGCTTTACAAAGTGTCTAGCAGACCTTTATTTACCAACAGAAATGAATGAATGAATGAATGAATGAGCGAGCCAGTAATCTAAGGCAGGTTGTCTTTGCATGACTGAGTGGTCAGTTCTTCAGTATTCCATGTGTTGTATTCTACTAAAGGAATATCCACAGTAGACCCGCTGAAATGAGTGAACTTAAATTAGTTACATCTGCAAGTATGACTTAGCTGCCCTGCCCCACCGTAGCAGGGATGAGCAGCGGGGCTACAGATGTGACAGTGGCTATGTCACTGTCCCCCCGCTGCCTACCAGGGCTTTGAATTGTAGTCTAAGAATGTTAACCACCTCCAGACTTTTAGTTTAATCACCAGGCTTTTAATTAATTGATAAACAGTCTTAAATTTAAATAAACTGTATGTAATCCGAATCTCGAATGCCTTTTGTGGTTATTGAAAGTGGTGTAAAATATCTTACAATTAATTAGTTTTTAAATTTGCTGTTACGTTCTGCACCACCGCCGCCGCCGCCACCCTCCCCTTATTCTTCCTGCCAAAGCAAAATCATGCCAGTTTCCGGCTGTAAGAATATAGGGAAATGAAGATGAAAATCCTTCTGCTTTAAAACTGTGCAGTGATCAAAAGATAATGGAAAGATCTGCTGTGCCAGCAAAAGAAAAGAAAAGAAGAAGCACTTATGTTGGAGCATTCTATCTGCTGAGTAGAAGATGCTGAGCAAAACATGACTTTACAACTGGTGTTAAAGGCAGATATGTCAGTACAATATTTACAAGCAGGATGCCGGGGTGTTCCCCCATCCCTCACTGTATCATCAGGTCTTTAACAATAGCCTTTCAGGGCTTTAGTTCACATGTCTAGTGCAACGTTCTTCCACTGCATCAGCAGCTGCCCTTCCATGAACAGAAGATGCTTTTTTTCTCAAGGAAGGGTACTTTTGGATCCAAGGCATTGATTTCTTATTAGGCAGATGGTGGTATTACCTTTTTTTAACCCCCTCCTTCTTTTTTAACTTCTTGTAGGATAAAAACTTTATCTCTGGAGCTTGAAAATAAGCAAGCAGCAATACAAAATCTCAATGAACAGATGAGGAGCCTCCAGAAAGAGAATGAAGTTTCATGCAGACAAACACAGCTGTTGCGGTAAGAAATTTCAGAAGGCAGTACGTAGGAGAACTAACTTTTTTGTGATGCACGCAGTAGGATATATCTGGTAAAATCATAGCATTAGCTGCCACATGTTTTTATTGAAATGCTTCATTCCTATGATTTTCTGTAAACTATGATTAGTAAATCAGGTGTGTTATATTTGTATTTGGGAACTATGGCTTGTTCCAACCAAAGTTAGTTTAAACAAATCACGATTAAATGGTGGTTTCAGATTCTGGTTTGTTAACAAACTTTGATTAGAAAAACCACCATTCTCTGAGTTTGTGCTTCTAAAGTGAATGTGGAACCTTTCACTCACCTTCTGTCACATAGGGAGAGGTAAAGGTAAGAAGTACACACCCAAAGGCTCACTGTGGCTTTTTCCCAGTCAACCACAATGTAGGTAATCATGTGACCCATGTCATAGGTTGCATCCAGATGTTATGCTGTCAAACAAGCAGGTAGCATTCTGCTTTGCAAGCAATCACAAATAACAGATTGCATGTTCAAGTGAAAGTATATTTTGCTGTAACCTGGGTTCAGAACTTCGTCATAGGGGAAGAAGGGGGGACTGCAATTTGGGGAAGAAAGCAAAAAGATACATAGATAACTCCACATGCGTTTCTGGGTTGGAGTTATAGTGGGTCTGAATTCTTTACTTCACCCCATCCATGACCCCAAAGTGTATTTTTTTAATTGTGTCCAGTATTTTCCAGTGTTCATAATTTCTAGCTCTATAACCTTCTAAATAGACTAAATATTGGCAACGTCCAAAGTTTCTGTGCCCAAGAGTTATCTAATAGTGATGCAGTTGAGAAGTGAAGCATACATAGTCTTCTGTTGTCAACTGCTATCCTAAATTGAGCTTTGTGCTCCTGTCATCACTGTCCAACTTCCTGAAAGCCTCTTTGTCTACCTATGTGTGCCTCTGCTTTTGCTGCTCTACCCAACTCCCCCTTAACCAGCCTGCTTACTTCTTCTCTCAGTTCCCTAGTCTAGCACATAATCCCTGGAAACCTCCGGCACTGGACCACAACAAATCACCATGGTATTTCCCCATCTACTCCCTTGATCCCAGTTTGTGGCTGGGAGTAAAAAGGAGAATGGTTTCAACAAACTGAAAGCCCTCACACAGGAATTCCCTACAAGCGTCTTCATTAATACACATTCATTTGTTTAACTGTGTGGAGCTATACTTCATGAGCCGAAGTTTGGCCATCTCTACCACAAATCAAGATTTTTGACAGACTGAGGTCTTTCCGAATCAGAAAATTATCCAAAAATGCAAGATGCCTACAAATTGTTTGGCATTAAAAAAAAATAACCCATGGAAGTTATGTCTGAATATTAGCTGTAATCTTTTGTAGAGCACCCATTTTGTCCAAACAATGATATAATTCTAAAAAATCATGCAAGTTAAATTCAAAAGTGCATGTGCTAGGTATGCCAGCTGCATGAGATAGAGAGGTATTTGGTAAAGATAGTCATAATTGCCATATGAAGCTTAGCTGAAAATGTTGAAACATATTCCAAGTATTGATGAATCCAACTGCAAGGCAGAAAACTCAATTAGCTTCTTTTATTGATATAAATCAATATTTTTTTTAAATGCTTCTTTTTCAACGTGCTATTTTGTTTTTAAAAAACCATTTACCAATTAGTTCTTCTTTTCCTTTTTGGCAGAAAAACATTGGAACAACATAAATTCATCCTAAAGAAAGCCTTTGTTCTCCTTCCCTTTATCAAAGGAGAGGTACACAGTGTTAAAGGAGGAATATTTGACTTTCTCAGCCAATGGAGTGCACTCAAAGGAGAGATTTTTTTACACATAAAAAAGATTAATTTAACAGCATTGACAGGTAAATTACCAGATTACAACTTTCCCCAGCATCTGATTCTTGGTCATTTCTACAGACTTTTAATAGTGATTTACACTTCTAATTTATTTTGTCTTTGCAGCACCCTTGTAAAGTATATCAGACTAAAAACTAGTTATTGCTGAGGCAGTAAACCTGTGCACTGCCCCGTACTACTTTAGATGGTCGGCTGCGATATGATGGGATCTTTAATTATAATAATGCTACAGAGAAAGCGAGATGTCAGAGAGAAGCCTTGTGCCCCAGCCTCACTGAAATCTGTTTTCCTATGCAAAGGTGCTTTTTAAAGAAAGTTTTTTAGTTATCACTGGGCATTTAGTCTTGTGAGTTTCCACCTGTGAGTTGAAATGGGTACAGCCTTAGCAAGGGCTTCCCTCGGCGTCGGAGAGAATGGCTTCCTCGAGCTTCATAGCTGAGCTCTGATTTGGGTCCAGGTCTCTAAAATCGAAACTCAGTCCTCTCTCTTCCCTGCCAGCTTTTGCCCACAAAAATTAGCTGCATGCAGTAGCTTATGACTGTTGACCGTTTTTTATGGGTCACGTTGAAATGACTTGAACAAAATCCAACACAGGGAATTTTCTGCCTCACAGGAAAAACAACTGTCAACCTTCCCCTTAAGTCATAGAAATGAAGGGTCATGGAATCTGAAGTCTCCAAAGGCGCCTCAAGGGGTAGGCAATGGGAGAACTCGCTGTGCTCTCATTTGCAAAGGGCAAAGGAGGCACATTGGCAGGATGCTGCCTCTGCCTCTGCTGTTCTCTCTGTTTCCAGGTGATCTCAGGTTCTTGTGCAAGTGTTAAATTCACTGCAGCTTTTCAGAACAGAATAGCAGGATATAGGGATATGAGTGAATTATTTTGACATTGGGCCCTGGTCAGACATCTGACTAAATAATATATGTTATAAGAAAATCCATTTTAATGTTGTTTTGCCCTAGATATACGTGACCCTGATTCTTTTTTATGCACATTTTTTATTTTTGTAATCTGCATGAAATCCCAGCTCCTCCTATTCAGATGTGTTGTTATTTTGGTCAGTTAACTACAGAGGGTTTTGTAAATGTTGAGAGCAGCTGACATGTGCTTTCCTTGCTGAATACAACACTGTCTCTGGTTTTTCTGAGTAGTTGGTGCAGAAATGTTCTGACTATCTTACGTGAGGCAAATGTAAAAATATGTGCATGCTTTCCCCATTCTTTCTGTAATACGTCATTCTAAAAGTGCTTCTTTTGTTAATGTTGAGTTTGGATGGCAGGAAATTAAGGTTCAGGAACCTGAGAACATTGTACCTCTCTGCATGCAGTGCCATTTTGAAATTCTGTAACTGTTTATGCACTTGGCAATACAGACCACACTTACAATTACCTCTGATTTTTGGTTCTTCAGCCCTGACTTGTCACAATTAATGTATATTCCAGCAGTGACTGGCAATAACTATGCATATTTAGCCAAAGGAAGTCTGGACAAGGAGCAGCAAATATGCTTGGTACTTGTCAAATACAGAAATGCTATACAAATTGACAATTAAATTGAAGCTGGGACAAAGGTATCAAAATCATATTTATTTATTTATAATTTATTTTCACAGTGATGGCATCTTCGTAGGTGTAGATACTGAATCTGTAGTACTTAAACAGCCAGCAAAAATTAATTGAAATTCATTCTTCTTTCTTGAAGAGTTGTTTCTGTACAACAGAGGACAGTCATTTTTATTGTGATGGTATCTGGAATTTTATTTTTTATTTTTTGATGAGAAATCCAATTACCTTTCAGAAATATCCAGTCTGAACCGAGGCTTGGGTGAATGCCAGAGGGAAAATCTTCTCCTCCAGGAGGAGGTGCAGCGTTTAAGGTTGATATCAGACGCAGCTGAGCAGCAAGCTGAGCAACTCCAGGCGACTCTCTTACGAGAGAGTGAATTACAAAACAGATGTCACGAACTACAGAAGAAAACACAAGGTAGGTGTTAATTTTAGAACAAGCAGCTGGCTTCACTGACAAGCAGCATGTTTAAAACTTCTATCCTGCTGTAGTCGGCCATTCTTAGAGGTACATGTGCAAATCTCCCTGCGCCATCATTTCACATGTGCTTCAACCTCTGTTTCTATGGATTTCACTTCTGCTTTCAAAGTAACCACAGTTCCCTATTATTTTTTAGTTTAAGAGAACTGTGGTTTCTTTAAACGGTGGTATGTTAAGGAGAAAGCCAGGATCAAAATGTACTTTCAGATCCCAGCTAATTTGAAACCACTGTTTAAATCAGCCACAGTTCCCCAACTACAGACATAACGAGGAACTGTGGCTACTTTGAAAGAAGAGCAGTGTTCCCAATCTCCTTACAGCCACACAGGGAGAGGGTTGCTCATGAACCAACTGTTCATTAATGTACTGAGAAACCATCATTCCTCATTACATCTTAACTAGCCCATAGAGTGCATTCATACTACCACAGCAATTTCATTCCACTTTGGTTTTTGGGGGGAGAGTACAGTTGCACTCAGTTCCTACTTCTGGGCTTCCCATGTGCACTCTGAGAACAGGATGCTGGACCAGATGTGCCAGGCTCCTCCAATAGCCTTACTAATCTCCAGAAACTTGTTTCTGAGGAAACACAGAAGGCTGGAGAAAGGTGGATTTCTCCCATCTACCACTTCTCCCCTTCAAATCTCTCCACAACATTTTTCTCCGACGTAAAGTAAGCCAGAGCAGAACCTGGAGTACAGTGGTACCTCTGGATGTGAACGGGATCCGTTCTGGAGCCCCGTTCGCATCCAGAGCAGAATGCAACCCGTGTCTGCGTGTGCACGGGTCGCAATTTGCCGCTTCTGCGCATGTGCGTGACGTCATTTTGAGCGTCTGCGCATGTGCGTGTGGCAAAACCCGGAAGTAACGTGTTCCGTTACTTCCAGGTCACCACGGAGCGCAACCTGAAAGCGCTCAACCTGAAGCAACTTCAACCCGAGGTATGACTGTACCTGATACTACGTGTTTCTGGTGGCTCACACTTTGCACCAACTGAGAAGAGTCTTCTCAGGTTGCCTTACATAATCTTGTGCCATTTACTTTTGCATCAGTGTTTACTTCCAAACATCTTGCCCTGTCACAGAGAGATTTTGTGATATGTTCAGAGATATATTAAAGCATCTCACAATGCTTTGTACGTACCAGCTTCCCCCCAATAACTGTGGGAACTGTTGTTGACCCCTCACAGGACTGCAATTCCCAGCACCCTTAAGAAACTATAGTTTCTAGGATTCCTTGGGGGAAGCCATGTGCTTTAAACATATGGCATGGATGTGACCAAAATTTGAGGAGTCTCTTTTAAGTACTGTGCTACACACCAGCTTTGTGTCTGCATTATGTGTCATAAAGCTCCTAGCAGCTGATTGCCAAAGACAGGAGGAGGTCGTACTGCTTCCATCTTAGGCACTCAGCCGTAGGGCTCTTTGTTTGTCAAAGAGGGGAGATGAGGTGGCGGTGATGGAGCAGCCTGCCAGTGGAGAAAAGCACATTCTACTGATGGATTAGATAATACGCTGTATGCATGGATACATTGCAACAGCATGTGGACAGGATACAACTTTTAATAATAAATAAATGCATTAAAACGAGAGCTCAAAAGAGCATTCAGTATTGTGAATCTCTTTTTAATATTCATTTAGAGGCACCCTTTGTTCTAGCTGATCATTTTAGGGCCTTTGGCATCCCTGGTGAAGCTTGAATGGAGCCAGGCACAGAGTTCTTAGGCTCATCCAACGCCTGTCTGTTTTGGCACAATCTGGCACCTCTCCTAATTGTGTCTTGTAGTCTCCTCTCTGAAACTGAAGATGCATCGTGTTAGTCTCTTGTTCATTTTACAAGTCCAATGCAGGCATTAACAGGTGTTGTTTTTAAAAAAGTGTGCTGCCTTTCTGTTTTGATTCAAAAACTTCATTTCAAAGCCAACGCCATCATTCAGTCTGTGATCCTGACCGGCAACTAAAATATTCTAACATATTCTAAAAGTGTACAGGTTGTGCTATTCAAAAAGTAGCTTTGCTTCATCAAAATGACAGTGTAATTGCAGAGTGCTGCTGCTCTCACAGTATGTGATTTCAAGTCCTGAACAGCGGTAGTTATGGTACAGAATGGCTTTCATTACAGAGCCAATGGTAACGGTGATACAGCAGTGAACAGAGGAATTTGCTATTTTAGCATGTGCTGTTGTTTCGTAAGGAGCCCTTGACATGTAAAGCCAAGGAATCCACTGGATCTGGGGACAATGAAGGAGATGTAAAACACCTGCCTGAGCCTCACAAGCTCCTGTGGCAAACACACACACACAGCCTGCACAGCCTATTTATTTTTTGATATTTGTTTGCTTCCCCACAGCATAACGTTCTCTGAGTGCTCTTCAATCCAGAAGTATACATTTAAATAAAAAATAAGGCATAAACCATAAAATATGCATAAATAACAGCAAGAAACCCAAAACTTTCGGCAAACCCTAGATAAATTACTTAGAAAGCCTGGGTGAACTTAAAAGACCACAAGGATTGCATCAGGCAAACCTACTTTAGTAGGGTGGTTCCATAATGGAGGTACTCCTTCCAAAACAGCCTTCTGGCTACCCACCTCATATCATTCAACAGGGAAATTGAAGCTGGGCCTCGAAAGAAGACCTTGAAGTTATTAGGATACTTAAAGGAGAAGCTAGCCTTTCAGATAACCTGGTCCCAAGCTGCCTGGGGCTTCAGAGGTCAAAGCTGCACAATAATTGTACATGAATATGGATGGGGGCCCTGTGCAACTTGCAAAACACAGACATCAAACTGCTCCGTTCCAGTTGAGAATCTTGCAGTCCTGTTCTGGGCCAATTGCTGTTCCTGAGTTATTTTTAAAGACAGCCCCACGTATAACACATTGCAGTAGTTTAAATTTCTAGTCCCGTTGCTCTTCTTGCCGCATAAGATCAAGATCCTCTTTACTATGTGCTGCAACATCACCACTGTAAGGGACAGATAGGAAAGCAGGCACAGACTGATATGCCCCTCCCTCCCCCTTTTGTAATATTCCATTGACACAGCGAACACACTTGGATAAAGTTTAAGCAGTGGGCTGGGGGAAAAACCGCAAACATCTAATTACTTTGTTTTAATGAAGCTGCAGTTATCTAGAACTAGTTGTTTTATTAAGAGTGATAAATGCATTGAGTAACAGGCAGTGATGGAGCAGTTATAGCTGACAAGTAAAAATAAAAACCACATATTAATAATTGCACATTTTGTTCTCACTGAAGTAGTTTTAAATATTCATATTTCTTTCTCTAATCTGCCTTTCTGTTCTTAGAGGTCAGTATGACCGGAAAATCAGTAAACTAAATTCCTGTTTATCCCCAGAAGAGGGTGAATGTTCTCTTATTTTCAATAAACATTTTACATTGTAAACCTCTCTATGTTCCTTGGATAAAGGGTGGTATAGGTATTTAGCAAACAAACAGACAACAACATCATGACTGTCATGAAGGAAAATAAAAATAAAAACTTAATAGGCTGAATTACTATTTTCCCAGGAAATAACTAATCAAACCAAAATATATTTTAATCAGTTATGTTTCTGCTTTGCTGTAAATGGAAGCATTTTAAACAAAACAATCTATTCCCACTAGGGGAGCCAGAAAGACTAAAAAAAATGTGTGCAGAAAGCCATTATTTGTAATTTAATTTCCCATGTGCTTAATGTTTCATTGTACTAACCGGAATAAAACTTTTTGCAGAGAACATAACCTAAAAGAGACAGGCATGCAAAATAATTGTCAATTTTCTCTTGCTACTTGTAAAATAAGATCCTCAACACCATGACGTCAACAAGCACAGTAAACATATTTATTGCATTTTTATCCCTCCCTCCCTCCCTCCCTCCCTTCAAGGAGCTCAGAACAGCAACAGTCCTATCAATAACCTGAGGCTGATCCTCATGTTATGCCCCCTACACCCTGACAGGAAACTGCAGTACAGTGGTACCTCGGGTTAAGTACTTAATTTGTTCCGGAGGTCCGTTCTTAACCTGAAACTGTTCTTAACCTGAAGCACCACTTTAACTAATGGGGCCTCCTGCTGCTGCTGCCGTGCCGCCGGAGCACGATTTCTGTTCTCATCCTGAAGCAAAGTTCTTAACCCGAGGTAATATTTCTGGGTTAGCGGAGTCTGTAACCTGAAGCGTATGTAACCCGAGGTACCATTGTTAGTGCTCTTTGTGGCAAGGGGCTGTATGCACAAGCTGTAATGTGCAAAGGCTGCTCACCCCACGAATCAGCCTTATTACCTGGAGGCTTTACATACTTGGTGTAGTATGTGTTTTTAGTAATGGCTGGCATGAATGTGGAGGCCGATCCTTGACAGGAATGGCCTCCACACATTGCAGCTTCTGCATGCATGCTGTCGTCAAATGTAAGCATTTCCAGTGGAAAAAGTGTAAGGTCTATGACAGATTTTAGTTGTCAGCCATGCAGCCCTGGTATTCTGTTGCCTTTCTGTGGTATCTTTAAAGACCTAACAAATTTTATTATGGAATAACCCTTTATAGACTAGACTGACTCATCAGGTGCTTAACTTTTAGGTTATTTGTAACATTAATCCTACAATATTCCAATTTTCTTAAGGAACTTTTTGTTTTTTCATGTATTTTGATGAGGCTTGATAATTTGTGTGAGAGAGAATGAGTAAGTGATATGTAAAGCATACTTATTTCTCTTATATTTCATAAAATCATCAAATTGTAGAGTTGGAAGTGACCACAGGGGTTATCTAACCCAACTTGGGGCTTGAACTCACAGTCCTGAGATTAAAAGTCTCATGCTCTGCCTACTGAGCTATCTCAGGACAAACTCCTGTTGGGTAAGGGGTGTGGCTTAGCCTTGCGGAGCACATTCTTTGCATACAAAGGCCCCAGGTTCAATTGCCAGCATCTCCAGAAAGGGCAGGGAAAGTCTGCTATCTAAAACCGTGGATATCTGCAGTCAGTCAATGTAGACCAGGTGTGGGGAACCTTTGGCCCTCCACGTGTTCTTGAACAACAACTCCCGTCCTCCCTGGATGCTGGCTGTGCTTGCAGGAGCTGATGTGCATTGCAGTTCAGCAACATCTGGAGGGTCAAAGGTTTCCTGGTGCAGACAGTACTGAGCTGGATGGACCAATGGTCTGCATAAGGCAACTTACTCAAGGACATTGATCTCTCCAACTGGATTAGCTGTCATGTTCTTGTTTAGTCGTTTAGTCGTGTCCGACTCTTCGTGACCCCATGGACCAGAGCACGCCAGGCACTCGGTCAAACTCATGCTGGTAGCTTCGAGAACACTGTCCAACCATCTTGTCCTCTGCCGTCCCCTTCTCCGTGTGCCCTCATTCTTTCCCAGCATCAGGGTCTTTTCCAGGGAGTCTTCTCTTCTCATGAGGTGGCCAAAGTATTGGAGCTGTCCTTCCAGTGAGCACTCAGGGCTGATTTCCTTAAGACTGGAGAGGTTTGATCTTCTTGCAGTCCATGGGACTCTCAAGAGTCTCCTCCAGCACCATAATTCAAAAGCATCAATTCTTCGGCAATCAGCCTTCTTTATGGTCCTGCTCTCACTTCCATACGTCACTACTGGGAAAACCATAGCTTTAACTATATGGAGCTTTGTTGGCAAGGCGATGTCTCTGCTTTTTAAGATGCTGTCTAGGTTTGCCATTGCTATATTGAAATAATTATTGAAACATTTTTACGTAATAGCTCTTCCAGTTGCGTGTACTTTCGTTTTCCTCTCGGTAGATGAGGTTTTACTAAGAAGATGAGTTGGGGGGGGGTTATGTAAAAGGTTCACCTATTGTTATCTCAACATTTGGCGTCATTGTGTGCCATCTTTAATATCTCTGGAATGTTCGAGCTGGAACGAAAGGGTCACCATGACCGCTTCTGTTATAGCTGTTGACAATACCTTTTTGATATAATCTACAGTTATGTGGGTTGGGTGTTTTTGTCCTTGTCAGATTTTTCACATGCTTATATCTGAAGGGCAGCATTAAAAACATTGTTCTATGAAAAATGTAAGCTAAATATTCTGAATACAAATGAAGCATTCCAATTTTTTTGCCACAAGTAAGTAAAGCAGTGGTTCCCAGTTAGCTAAGAAATGCAGACCCTCTGTTTTTGAAAGGCCAAGCAATGGACCCCCTACTTTTTTTTTTTTTTAATAAGATATTTATTGAGATTTTCCAAATGTTACAATATAAAAAAGAAAAAAATAATAAAAAATACAAAATAAAAATGATTAAAAACCACTCAATTTTTCCATTACTTATTTTTCCTTAGCTTGTTTCCCGGACCTCCTCATACCTCCCTTTTTTTGTATTCCAGTTCAATTTGTTGGTTCAGCAAATCCTTACCCTCTTTGTTTATCCTAATCTTTGGTTTTAAAATAGTAACGTTAGATTTTTACCTATTAACAACCCATTTTTCATATTCCCTTAAAGCATTACAGCTGGAAACCACTTAATGTCTATCCAACATCATTCTAACATTCATTAATTTTACAATATTTCTGTAGATAGTCTTTGAATTTCTTCCAATCTTCTTCCACCGACTCTTCTCCCTGGTCTCGGATTCTGCCAGTCATTTCTGCCAGTTCCATATAGTCCATCAGCTTCATCTGCCATTCTTCCAAGGTGGGTAGATCTTGTGTCTTCCAATACTTTGCAATGAGTATTCTTGCTGCTGTTGTGGCATACATAAAAAAAGTTCTGTCCTTCTTTGGCACCAATTGGCCAACTATGCCTAGGAGAAAGGCCTCTGGTTTCTTCAAGAAGGTATATTTAAATACCTTTTTCAATTCATTATATATCATCTCCCAGAAAGCCTTAATCCTTGGGCACGTCCACCAAAGGTGGAAGAATGTACCTTCAGTTTCTTTACATTTCCAGCATTTATTATCGGGCAAATGATAAATTTTTGCAAGCTTGACTGGGGTCATGTACCACCTGTATATCATTTTCATAATATTCTCTCTTAAGGCATTACATGCCGTAAACTTCATACCTGTGGTCCATAACTGTTCCCAGTCAGCCATCATTATGTTATGTCCAACATCTTGTGCCCATTTAATCATAGCAGATTTCACCGTTTCATCCTGAGTATTCCATTTCAACAGCAAGTTATACATTTTTGACAAAATCTTAGTTTTGGGTTCTAACAGTTCTGTTTCTAATTTTGATTTTTCCACCTGGAAGCCAATTTTCTTGTCCAAATTATATGCCTCCATTATCTGATAATAATGAAGCCAATCTCGCACTTTGTTTTTTAATTTCTCAAAACTCTGCAATTTCAGTCTATCTCCATCTTGTTCCAGAATTTCCCAGTATTTCGGCCATTTGGCCTCCATATTGAGCTTTTTCAGAGCTTTTGCTTCCATCGGTGACAACCACCTTGGGGTTTTATTTTCCAGTAAGTCCTTGTATCTTATCCAGACATTAAACAATGCTTTCCTGACAATATGGTTTTTAAATGCTTTATGTGCTTTGACCTTATCCTACCACAGATATGCATGCCATCCAAATACATTGTTAAAACCTTGTAGATCCAAAATGTCAGTGTTTTCAAGAAGCAACCATTCTTTCAACCAGCAAAAAGCTGCTGATTCATAGTAAAGTTTAAAGTCTGGCAGGGCAAATCCACCTCTTTCCTTTGCATCTGTTAATATTTTAAATTTTATTCTAGGCTTCTTGCCCTGCCAGACAAATCTAGAAATATCTCTCTGCCACCTCTTGAAACAGTCCATTTTGTCCACAATTTGCAATGTTTGAAACAAAAACAACATTCTAGGCAATACATTCATTTTTACCGCAGCAATACGGCCCAGCAGTGAAAGCTTCAAATTTGACCAAATTTCTAAATCTTTTTCACTTCAGCCCAGCATTTTTCATAGTTGTCTTTAAATAAATTCCCATTTTTTGCTGTCATGTTAATCCCCAAGTATTTAACTTTCTTAACCACTGTTAAACCTGTCTCATTCTGAAACCTCTCTCTCTCCATTGGTGTTAAATTTTTCTCTAGAACTTTGGTCTTTAACTTATTCAGTTTAAATCCTGCAACCTGACCAAATTCTTGAATCAGTTCTAAAACTCTTTTAGTACTAGATTCTGGCTCCTGTAATGTCAATACTAAGTCATCTGCAAATGCTCTCAATTTGTACTGTTTGGCTCCGACCTGTATACCTTTAACCAACCGGTCCCTTCTAATCATATTCAGCAGAACCTCCAGGACCGATATAAAAGCAATGGGGAAATTGGGCAACCTTGTCTTGTCCCTTTTTCTATCCTAAATTCTTCCGTCACCACATTATTTACTATTAGTTTAGCCTTTTGTTCTGAATAAATTGCACTTATACCGTTTTCAAAACCTTGGCCTACCCCCATCCCCTGTAGGTTCTTCTTCATAAAACTCCAAGAGATATTATCAAAAGCTTTCTCCGCGTCCACAAATATCAAAACTGCTTTAGTATTTATGTTCACTTCTAGTTTTTCCAAAATATCAATTATATTCCTCAAATTATCGGACAAATGTCTTCCCTGGAGAAAGCCTGCTTGGTCTTTATGAATCTCTTCCATCAATACTTTTTTCAATCTCTTGGCCAAAATGTCTGCAAAAATTTTGTAATCCACATTAAGTAACGATATGGGGCGGTAGTTCTTAAGCTGAGTCTTTTCAGTCTCTGTCTTCAGTATAAGTGTAATGTACGCCTCTTTCCACGACTCTGGTGCCCTTTTCCCTTCCAATATTTCATTGCAGACTTCCTTTAAAGGTTGTAATAACCACTCTTTTAAAGATCTATAATATCTAGAAGTCAGTCCATCCGGTCCTGGAGATTTGCCTAATTGCATGTTTTGAATGGCACCTTCTACTTCCTGTTCAGATATTTTATAGTTCAACATTAGTTTACTTTCTTGGGAGACTTTTTGTAGTCCATTTGTCTTCAGAAATCGGTCTATGTCCATTTCTTTCTGTGGCCCTTGTGTATATAGTTGTTTAAAATACCTCTGGAAACAGTTTCTAATCTCAGTTGGGTTGTGTATATTCTTTCCTTCCACTTCTAAATTTGTAATAGTGTTTAATTTTTGTCTTTTTTTCATTTGCCAGGCCAGCAATTTCCCACATTTGTTAGCAGATTCAAATGTTTTTTGTCTCATTTGTTTAATTTTCCATTCTATTTCCTGGTTCATCATTTCCATATATTGTACTTGATATAACTTTATTTCTCTCAAAATCTCCTGCGACTTTGGTTTTGCTCTCAATTTCTTTTCACTTTCTTTTATTTTCCCCAAAATTTTATCTTTCTTCTCATTTTGACTTCTCTTCTTTATTGCATTCTGTTGTATCAGAAACCCTCTCATGACAGCTTTGCTTGCGTCCCAGATTACTCTTTTTTCTACATTAGTATTCATATTTATTTCAAAATAGTCTCTCAAGGTTTTTTGGGCCTTTTTATACACTTCTTCATCTCTGAATAAGGTGTCATTCATCCTCCATCTGTAGGAGCCAGTTGATATTAGTTTCAACTCCATCCTTACAGCATTATGGTCGGAGCAGGTTTTTGGGCAGATTTCCACTTTCTTTATCTTTGGTGCCATTCCTCTAGTTACCCATATTTGGTCAATTCTAGTCCATGTCATCTTGGCTTCAGAAAAGAAGGTTCCCTCTCTTCCCAAGGGGTTCTTTGTTCTCCAAGTATCAACTAAGTCCAAATTATCTGTCATCTCGAAGAATGTTTTCGGTAGTCTACCATCCTTGGTAACTACCTGTCTTTGTGCCTTATCCATGTTTGTAGATACTACTCCATTCATATCCCCCATCAAAATCAGATTGTAATCCAAATAGTCCATTAAGGTCTCATGCAACTTTTTAAAGAATTCAGATTTCCCCTCATTCGGTGCATAAATTCCTACTATCAAAAATTTCTCTCCTTGAACTTGAATTTCAATTGCCAGAAATCTTCCTTGGTCGTCTTTAAAAATAAATTTCGGTGATAGTCTCTCCTTTGCATAAATCACAACTCCTCTTTTTTAACTTTGTCAGATGAAATAAACTCCTGTCCCAATCTCTTGTTAATCAGTAGTTTCCTGTGTAACATTGTTACATGTGTTTCTTGTAGACAAACCACGTCCAAGCGTTCCTTTTTAGTAACTGAAAAACACTTTTTCTCTTCCAAGCAGAGTTTCGACCATTACAATTCCAACTTAACAGTTGCAGAGCCATGATGGGGTTACTTCGTTTTACCTCCAACTGCGCCAAGTGTCTGTTCTTGTTCTGTCAGTGGTGTCACTTTCTCTGGACCATGCAATCCAAAAGATAGGTTTGCTATATCTAGTATTCCTTTTTCCAGTGCTTTTGGCTCTTCTCCAGATTCCACTTCTTTCTGTAGATCTTCTCCGTGATCCTTCAAAAACCTATCCTTGTCATTGACTGATCTTATTTTTATCTTTCTTCCTTTATATTTAAAGGACAGGCCTTGAGGGAATTCCCACCTAAAGATAATTCTGTTACTTCTCAACAGGGCAACCAGATCTCCGTAATTAAGCCTTAAATCCAAAAGATGTTTTGGAATATCCTTAAATATCTCCACACTTGAGTCGTAAATTTCTACAGTCTTTTGGTAATGCAGATTCAAGATTTGGTCTCTCTCCTCTTTTGTTCGAAGGGTGATCAAGCAGTCTCTCACCTTGTTCCTCCTTCCTCCTCTTCCAAGTCTAAATGCACTCACTATCTTAAATCCTTCCTTTCCCAAATCCTGTTGCCAGAAATCTGCAAATTCCTGCGTAAGAAAATCAGCCAAATTATCTTTCTCACGTTCTGGTACAGCCCTGATTCTTAAATTTCTTTGTTTCTCCTTCAATTCAATCATAGACAACGTCAAACCGTGGTCCTCCAAGTTGCCTATATATCGGTGGTATCTTCTCTTGAGTAGCAGTTGCTATATCTTTTGCTTCTTCAGCTGTCTTTCGGGTCGAAGCAGATTCCTGTAGTAATTTTTCAATAGACTCTGTGTTGGTATTCACCTTCTGTCCCAAATTATTGATGCTTGTAGTATTTTGGTCAATTTTAACTGATGTTTCAGCTACTTGTTTAGCTAAATTTTCCAAAGATTCATTAATTTTACCAAGTGCCTGAGCCAAAACGTCTTCGGACGACATAACTTTTGGTTTAACTTGTGGAGGTGCAGCCCCTGGTGTTCCAGATGGTCCAGAAGGACCAGATGTTGAAGCCCTTCGCTGCAACGCAGTATCTGTCCGATAGGGTCTGCCAGACCTAGTAGTTTTTTTCCTGCGTCAACTCTAACTTTCCTCTTCCATCTGCCATAACATTCTCATGAGAGTCCAAGGTCGATCCCACGGCTGGAATTTGTTTTGAAATGGAAAATTCCTCTAGCCCAGTTGTTATTGTAGCAATGTCAAGCCTCCTCTAGAGGGACACAGTAACAGCCAAGGCTTGCAACTTTAAGAAAAGAAAATATCCTTATAAGTTCCCCAGTTCACATAAAAACAACAGTTTCAGTTGCACTTAATCAGTTACTTTAAAGCCAGGAGAAGTTCAGAAACACTGTATCTCTTTTGCAGAGTTAGCTGTCAAAAGTCCTCTGCTTACCGATAGGCTTTCCACAGAGCGGCATTTCTTATCTCGGGGCAGTCCGTTCCCAGGTTTTAGGCGGTGGATTTTAGCTCTTTCCCCCCCTTTTTTTTGCAGATAAATACAGTTCAAACCTTTCCCCCCTCCTCTCCTGCAATCCGGAGGGGAGATCACTTTCCTGATGTTGAGATTTAAATCTTTTTTCAAACGTCTTTCGGAGTTTCCGCTTACAGTCTCTTTGCTTTGATCTATTTACAAGAAAGGAAGGCAGACTTCCTGTTTATACCTTCCCGCTTCAGTGCTGAATTAACTTGTTTTTCCCTTTAAATCCAATTTAATCCTACTCACGGGTAGTTGCTTTCAAAGTCAGATTGTCTCAGGAAAAAGTCAGCGCTCTCCGATAACGGCTATGCGTCTTCACTCCGCGGAAGAAGCAGTCGACTCTCAGCACCGCGCCGCTCACCCCGTCTCGCTCCGGAGCCCTTAAAAGGGCCCCTTCGCAGTTTGGGGGGGCGCAAAAGGTGCCCGCCGAGTCCCCACGTTCACAGGCTTCACCCGCCTGTGATTTTTAAAGGGTCCCCGCTTCGCCGCAGCGGTCAGACCTGATCCCGCGGAGCTGGTCCCTCAGAAACTCAGAGGGAGTCCGCCATTACCGATGGCGCCAACCCGGAAGTCTGGACCCCCCCACCTACTTTTTTGATATATCTATGATAGTTTTTGTTACATGAGTGGTGCTGCAGACCCCTCGGATGGGTTACACACACTTCCTGGGGTCCATGGACCACCAGTTGGGAACCACTGAACTAAAGAAATAGAATTCAATCTGTCATGTGTCACTAGGTCCAAGGTACCTGTTGTCTTCCTACTGCTCTTATTAAGTAAAACATTTATGAGTCACCTTTCCACTCAGAAACTAAGCACCCAAGGCTATATTCAACCAGGTATTTACAGGCTGACATGGCTGCTTTTCTGGAATCCTAAGCTCTTGGGTATTTTCCCAGTATTGTGGCTGTGTGTGTTTGTGTGTCTTTCTCTGGGATTGTATTTAGTCCAGGCATTTTGAAGCTTTGTTATTGTTGTTCCCTGCCACTGCCAGTCAGTTGGCTTAAATGATTTCACTGAGGGGAAAACAGCAGGCTTGGGAGATATACAATCTGAGGTGCTTCAGTATACCCACAGCAGGGTGCAGGAAGCAAGGCAAGTTGGCAGCCACTGTGTGCTAACAAAAGCTGACAGATTAACTCCTGGGGGTGGGGGAAGTGACTGTGAAACTTCTTTATTTTCTCCATCATTTGCAGTGATCATTTGTCCGTATGGCCCACTGTAATTGTTCAAAGCAAATTAATGTTTGGGGGAAACCATTTGTCCTCTTCTTTTGAACATCATCTTAAGAAGGTTCTAAGTTGTCATTCATTTTCCATTTCTTTTTATTTTGATTACACACCTTAGGTACATGCAGTACCCAGGTGCTCTGGATATGCTAGACAACAATGACGATAGAGTTATCTGTGATGTGCATATGAAGTACTTCAGGGTAGAAATAGTTTCAAATTCAAGGGGTACCAAGATTAATGCAGCAATTATCATCAAATGCTGTTTGGTTGTGAGGTTATTTATGGGGCACTTAGAGCCTAGGGCTTGCCGATCAGAAGGTTGGCGGTTCAAATCCCCACGATGGGGTGAGCTCCCATTGTTCGGTCCCAGCTCTTGTCCACCTAGCAGTTTGAAAGCACACCAGGGTTCAAGTAGATAAATAGGTACCGCTCCAGCGGGAAGGTAAACGGCGTTTCCGTGCGCTGCTCTGGTTCGCCAGAAGCGGCTTAGTCATGCTGGCCACATGACCCGGAAGCTGTCTGCAGACAAACGCCGGCTCCCTCGGCCTATAGAGCAAGATGAGCGCCGCAACCCCAGAGTCGTCTGCGACTGGACCAGGGGGTACCTTTACCTTTTTACCTTTAGTAAATGACTATCCCTTCTTGCTGCCCATTTCTAGCTTCATTGTACGTAGGTAGCCTAGCAGTCCCTGGCAAGATGTTTCCACAGCTGAGGTCTGTGATCTGCCACTTTGCGCATTACACTGGCCCCATGGATGCTGATGGAGTGACTCCTACATCTGCAAAAATCTCACCAACTGTAAAGTGTGAATTTGCCCTCTCTGAGTTAATAGTATCATCACTTGTCTATACCAGCTGCCTAAAATATCAATTGTTTGAATTTTTAGAAATGTTCCCTAGGCTAATGATAGTGTATAAGAATTTATAGCACCTTAAGGATAGGACAGCACAAAAACAATTTTTTAAGAATCTCCTTTCTGAAATTGGATTTATTGGACTGTTGTATAAACCAGTGGCTTTTATTTCCAGAATGATTTTTTAGAGTACTGGTTATTACAATATTATGTGCAAGTTTAAAATCGGTCTAGAATAGACAGTAAGAAAACAAAATAAACATACTAATTACTTCATATCGGTAATGCAAAATCTGTTGAAAGACCAATTCCTATCAGTGCCTATCAGTTTCAGAAGTTGACGCTGCTTGACTTCTTTTTACAAAAAGCTTATATACAGGATGTTTATTATACATTGTTATTGTAGAAAGGTGCCTTGTTCTTGTATCACTTTAAATCACAGATGAAGTAAGGTGAATGTACAGCATGCTGGTGTATGATGCTGAAATCATGGGCGCTTGGTTCTTCCTTTGTTCCTGCTGCCCCTGAACTGCTGGGAGCTAAGCTCTGATATGGCTGAAGCTGAACATTTGAAGATTCTGGACATATAAGAGAAAGTTATTCATGCAGCACACGATTAAACTATTGCACTAGCTCTCTCAGGAGAGAGTGATGGCCACCAATTTGGATGGCTTTATGGCTACTAGCTTCAATGGCCATGTTCCACTTCCTTTAACTGCGGTTTAAAGTGACATGCAAATGAGAGTATTAAAAAAGACTATCTGCTGTAATGTGCGCAGCCTACTATGGGCTTTCGAGGAATAACGCAGGATAGAATAATAATGTTAAATGATGATAATATATATTAACAATTTCTTATTTCAGATTTAACAAGTCAAGTAGAGACAATTGAGCACAAGTTCCAGAAAGCAGCTGCCGAAATCAGCCATTATAAAGAACTATCCGTGTAAGACACTTAATTTTATTCATATCAGGTATAAATTTTATTCATAACAGGTATCTTTTTTTCTGCCTGATTCCCCTATAATTATGTGCTAAAATGTAAGAGATAATGAATACTAGGTTAGTTTACTGAAGTCTGCTAAGGACAGAGAGTAGTGTTGATTTTTATTTTCAAGGTATATAAGACATGGAACATATTGTTGCATGCAGCCTCAATCTCCTTTCACACCACCCCAATCTCTGAGTGGTGCAAGATTCCAGGGTTCATGTTTCCTTTCAGAATGAGGCTGCAGTGTCTTTAAGATACAGGGTTTATTTACACATATATACAACCTGAGCCTACAATGGAGGGGTTCACAGCATTAGCACCTCATGAGGGTCTTGTTTCTCCCATAGTCACAGCCTTGGATTCAGACAGACACCATTGCTCTCTCTCCCTGCCCCCAGCTTGCTGCTTTCCTTCTCAGTGACATCACTTCTCTAACCTAAGCTACGGCTTTATCTCTTAATAGCCCATCACCTCACGGCAAACTAGCCTAGTTCAATTAAGTTTTAACACTTACTGTTTCCAGGGGATTAGAAGTGTCAAGCACTCAGCTTAGCACCCCAAGCCTTAATTAAATCTTAACATCTACTGGACCCAGGAATTTAGGGCAGTCTGGGACCCACAAACTCATAACACTATTTTATTATCTTTGTGGTGCCTTATTACGTTGTAGGTTGTTGTCCTCTTCTGATCCCATGAAGCAACCTATCTTAGTGAGCAACTTGTTCCAAGGAGAGCTGGAAATGAAATGAACCCTTTTGATCTCCTATGTTTCCTCTTATTTTGGAGAGCAATAGTCTTTTAAAGAGAGAGACACCTCTCTTATTGTGCTCCTGGATTTTCCACTTGGTGTGTACTCCCTGCACCATTGTACTGTAGGAGTGGGGGACACTCAGTTTCTCAGGCCTGGAAAAAAGTCAATCATTGTATCATTTTACTGTTGTTAGCCGCTCTGAGCCCGGCTTTGGCTGGGGAAGGTGGGATATAAATAAAATATTATTATTATTATTATTATTATTATTATTATTATGAGTTTCCCGGCTGTGGTCCTATGGGTCTTGGTGCTGCCTGCCAGTCTTAGCTTCAGTGGACTCCTGAACACCAGCATCATGCTTAGAGCCAGAAACCCAGGCCGCCTCCTCTGCTGGTGACCCTGTAACTTCCAACTCAATATCCTTGCCACTGCTAGATTTGGGGATCAAGAGAGTTAACGAGGTTATACGCATAGTGTATTTTTGAATGAGTAGAGAAGTTAGAAAAACAATTCAGGAGATACTGGGAATCTTTTACACTGTAAGGAAGTTGAACGTAGCAGCCCTGCTGGATGAAACCAAAGGCCCACTGTCTGCAAACATGGAACTCCATAGCCATTGGTTGGGCACTTTAAGGCTCCTGACTCTGCAGTGGCAGCTACGTCTCTACCTGCCCGACACCTGAAGGCACATATTATGTCACGTGTGGGTCAGGCTGATGTGATTTGTGGGAAGTGACCAGTATGGACAAAAGCCCATTTTTGTTTCAGATTTTGAGTACATGGCATCTGGCACTACAGTGATAAGGAACAGTGGCACACAAACCCTCTCACTCTTCCAACATACAATTTCCAGCAGCAAGGTGGTGGTGGTGGTGGTGGGACCCATTTGTACAAAGTGAATGCAAGAGCCACAAAGAAAACAGGAAATCCTGCCAAGTCAGAGTATAGAGCTCATAAAAGGAACAAGCGAGGCTGAGATCTAAGTGAAAAACACCTGCAGGCACCCAAAGTCAAGGCAGATGCTTATATAAGAGGTGCAGAAAAGCCTGCCGCAAAATATGGGTGGAGAATGCACTGCGAGCGAGTGGCTGCTTGGCTTGTTCAGACCGCAACACAGTCCTGTACGAAGAAGCCCAAACACTTGCCCTACAAGAGGGAGGCCTGCCACTGAGCATGTGGAAATGATATAGCCGGTATAAACAGACTTTAGTGAAAGAAACATTATTAGCAAGAATGGTGAAAAGTTCATTACCCATAATAGCCAGTTCCGGTTAAATGATAAAATCCATTGGCACCGTCACAAGAATCATCTTTCGGGGTCAGACCAAATGGTCCACCTAGCCTAGTATCCTGTCTACAACCTCCATTGGTTCTAATAAATCCAAGGGAAGAGGTTGTTTGTGGTGTATCACGCTCCCAGGGGAGCTTTTCGGCTCCCTGCAACCCCTGCTTGTGAAGGCCAGAGAATCCTCACAAGAAGGACAAATTGTCAGATCCCTTTTCGCATTGCTGGATGGGCTATGCACACAAGCACAGGTCTTATAAGAGCTACCTGTACCGAGTCAGACCATTGGTCTTTGCTTCATCTGCATCAACACTATTAACACTGACTAGTCATAGCTCTTTAAGGTTTCAGAAAGGAGACTTTTCCAGCCCATCCAGGAAATATCTGGGGTTGAAATTTGGACCTTTTGCATGGAAAGCATAGCATGTGCTCTCCCACTATCATACAGTTCCCGGCATTCACTAGATACAGTCATGATTAGTAATATTTGCCCTTAATACTTTTTTCCTTGCTATATAAAAAGTGGACTTTTAACCATAACAAATTCAGGAGTGAAATTCCTTTTTATATTTGTGGTGCATTTTACATTCAGAGGTAGTGTACATGCATTGTTATTTCAAAAAACAGCAATCAGCATTCTTTTCAACAGGCTTTCCTTCCTTGAAATATATATATGGTTTCTTTATGACATGTACGTTCTTGCATTCACATTTGGGGGGGGGGGAGTGGAAAATCAAATCTACAAATACCCTGTTGCTAAGCGTTCCAAATATTTTAACAGTAATTGAAATGAAAAACACAGTGATTGCATATTCATAAATATACCATAATGAGTTTCCATAATGAGTCTGGGTCTAATTTAGCGAAGTAGTATATTCTATTTCAGTTTAAGTATAAATATAAAGATTAACTAGAGTTATTAATAGGTGAAGTAATGTTATAATGATGATAAATGTCTCCAAGTTTCCAGCTTTAGTGGGGTTTGAATTGTTATGCTGCTTGCCTGTTTTCATTCCTGACTTACTGAAAAACCAGCACCACAAATTCAGTGTTTGGTGGTTGCTACAGTAAATGATCACATACTAGGTTTAAATTACATTGAGAACATACACTGCCTGCATTTAAAGTGTCAGGCAGCACACCACTCATTTGTAATACATGCCTGCCAACTTTCCCCCCAATCTGAAGTCCCAATCTTCCCTATTGTTTCACCTATAATTACCATAAGAAAAGACAAGAAAATTAAGGATAGATTAATATATTCCTAAATATGTGCCTAATTTATATTTCAGAACTGAGCAGTGAAATAACATTCTGGCTGACCTTAACCAGCAGACTAGCAGTGCATCCGTTTCTGTGTGCCTGCCTTCTTCTGTGGAGCTCTCATAGTCTTCTCTACTTTTGCATCAAATATTGGTGGTGTTGAGTCTGGCATCATATGAAACATTTAGCCTATTCAGCCAGAGACCAGGAGCAGGCCTTGAGCATGGTTTCTCCCTTGTTCCCTACTTCCCTCTAGTTTCCTCCAGGTGAGAGGGAAGTGTTGTGCTCCAATAGATGCAGCCTTGCATGATACACTCACCAGCTTTCTCCTGCTCTGAGAAGAGCTGAGGAGGAAGCGTGCAGTGTGAGCTGGTGGCGGCTGGTGATATGTGAGGCAAAGTGGGAAAATGAGCTTCTGAGTGGTACCAAAGGGAAGGCAGCCCCGCAGTCTTGTGGTGGTGATTGTGTGACATTTGTAGAAGCAAAGATGATTCAGTCAGAACTAGCCATCAGACAGCTTCAGTGACTGACCAGCAGTGCTCAGTGTGGGCTGCTGACACCATGAACCATCTCCCACAGCAGGAGTGAGCCTGTTGAGCTGGGCTTTAGGACCCACCCAGCGGCTGGTGATGTAGACCAGAAAATGGTATTTGACTGCTGGTGGTGTAAGTTCAAGATCCCCTCCCCACCCCTGTCTAACCCTAGGCAGATTCTCAGGAGACGACGAATGAATGAGTAGGCTCATAGATTTATTTAAAAAAACAACAACAAACCAGTCCATGTTAAATCCACATAGACATTTTAAACAACAATATCATTTTTTTCTCAATAGGAAAAGGCCTTTCACAGTTCAACCCCAAAACCACAGTAAATATTTAAAGCAGTTAATTTTCTGATCTGAATAAAGAAGTGCATGTCCAACCAGCCCTGGCAAAACAGTTGTTCTGTCAGACCAAGTGATGGTTAACAAAGAGATAACTAAGCAATGTGTCCATGCTCTGTGTGCACAGAATCTGGAACATGTTGGAGGGACTTTCTCTGTCTAGTAGACGTCAGTTATTATCACTCTTCAGCAGACATTTCCAGCAAGAATGATCACCCAGGGGCCTGGCTCCATTTGGGCGGCATACTTGCCGAGTACAATAAGAAATATCCCTTTTCCTCCTACTTCATTTTCCAAAGCTCATCTTCCATTCATGCCTTTTGATTTCCATCTGCAAGATAGAACAGAAAGTTTCGTTTTACAGAACTTCCATAGAAGAGAGCAAAAACTGGAAGCGATTGTAATTTGAAATTGCAGCTCAATCATGGGGTGAGAATGCCCAGTTCCCTTTGTTACTTCATCAGCGGCGCTGCAGAAACGCTTTTCCTCTGAAGTGTTGTGTAGTTATTCAGTAAATAGTCATTTAAGCTAGCCATTCATGTAAAGACATGGTGGATCGCACTGATAGTGGCTCTGTAACAAGAACAACCTGGCCAGGATTAATCAAAGCAAGGAAGGAAGTGGGTTGGTGCCAGCAGGGGGTCGCTATCTTGACGCATGCCCTGGGGGTGGGGGCTACAAAATGCCCCTGAGGCTACAGGAACAATTGGAAGGTAAGGGAATTGGGAGGTCTGGTGATCTTGTCAGCAGAAGAGCCAAGCAAATTTCTCCTGTCTGCTCAAATAAATCCCACTGAACCTGGATCACTAGGGCAAACAGGAGATCAAGGAAACGTCTGGTGAGAAGATAAATCCTTGGAGTTTCTATGTAGGCAGGGACTCAGGTACCTGGAGATGGATGCAACTTCTGAGGCTGTGGGGATGGGGCAGGCCTCCTAAATCTTTCACACTAGAACCCTTGGCATATTGATTAAACTTTACCACATAAATGCTTTGTTTCTTTACTTGCTTTTCATATACTTCCAGTTGATGTGCCTAGCAGAGGCCCTTTTCATCTATGGTAAGGTGTGTGAATAGCGAGGAAGGGCTTTCATTTACCTAATGTGGACGGTTGAAAGCTGTTCAACAGTGGCACAGTCTCCCTTGGGAGGTTGTGGACTCTCCTTCCTTGAAGGTTGCTAAGCAGACCTTGGATGGCCATCTGTCATGGGATGCTTTAGCTGAGATTCCTGCATTGCAAGGGGTTGAGTGCTTAGTGCAGAAAGTCTTTCCTATTCTAATTACCGTATTTTTTGCTCTATAAGACTCACTTTTTCCCTTCTAAAAAGTAAGGGGAAATGTGTGTGCGTCTTATGGAGCGAATGCAGGCTGCACAGCTATCCCAGAAGCCAGAACAGCAAGAGGGATTGCTGCTTTCACTGCGCAGCGATCCCTCTTGCTGTTCTGGCTTCTGAGATTCAGAATATTTTTCTTGTTTTCCTCCTCCAAAAACTAGGTGCGTCTTGTGGTTTGGTGCGTCTTATAGAGCGAAAAATACGGTAATTCAAGAGGGTTCTGGAAGCTTCTCTGTGTGAAATAAACAAGCAGAAGGTTTGTGATGTTTGGGTTATTCCTTCAGAGAAGCTGAGTACAGCTGGCTTAAACTGTTTCTGTTATCTCTGTCAAGGTCATGCTGACAATAATAGTAAGGCCAGAAGGAGCCTGGGTTTCACTCTTTTCTATCTCTCTTTCCAAGTGGTGTGGTGTTTTTTATATAGTATGCTTAATATTAAGGTTTAGTCTTATTATAAGTTATTGTAAGTGTAAGTCTGCTGCAACTGGATTTCTTATGAACGGTGCCAATCCTGAATGTATTGGATTTGTGACCATTATGCTCATTTGCCTTCAGTAGCAGTCAAACTCTGCTGGATGAAATATTAATTGCCTCTGGTCTATTTTGGAGGAATCCTGCAACGTGTTTAAGTTTTTACTCTGCTAACTATACGTTGAGGTTCTACTCTGGATCAGTATTGAGTAGGATACATTACAGAACTAGATGACCCTTGGGGTTCTCTTCCAACTTGAATTCTATGATTCTAGGATCCTACGTACTTTGTGCCCCTTCTCGTACTTTCCTCACTTTCCGCACAAGGATGATCAGTTGTGCAGCTTCGCAGGTTCATACAGAAAAAGTTCTATTCCCCCCACAAAATCTATATTCTCAGCTGCCCACCTGTACATATATATCACAAATGGCAACTTCAGTGACATCTGAAGCAACCAGGTTGCTTGGAAGAATGGCAGCTTGCCCATGGCTAACAGCAGCAAGGTTCCTGAAATATTTATTCTACAAAAACAAGTCTCTCTCTCTCTCTCCCTGTTTGTGTGTTGTAGCAGCAGCAGTAGCAGTACTGAGTTCACTGTTTTGACCTTATTCCAAAGTTTATCATGCATTATACTTCCTCCTTTTAGTTTTGGTACTCAGAATTAGGTGCTTTTAGTATATAATTAGCAGCATTCAGACTAAATTAGCATCTGTGGTGTCAATGTCATGGATTTACAGCTATAATCTTTGAATATTTGAATCATGTTGCCAAAGAATATCTATACATTTCAAAGGAATACCTACTGGCAACATTAACACATAATGATATTAAGTCAAGACATCATTTTTCCATGCCACATGAAATGGCTGTAGAACTTTCTTTTGAACTGAATGCTTGAATTCAGCAATTACATAAATCATTGTGACAGCCTGCTCTGGAAATCATTGACTTGACAAATTTCAAAAGAAATTCTTTAGACTTAAAGGTCTTCTGACATTCTTTAGCAAATGTATTTACTTTCATGTAGCAGTTATTTGACAATAATTAGGTATATGAATCATTGGACAGTTGGCTAATTCTTTTTTTACTTCTGAAAGTAGAATAAAAGGAATGAATGAAAAGGCGTTCAAAATTCTGTCTTCATTTTTTTAAAAAGAAACACAAAGTTACAGAATATATGTAATTATGTTCACTACATCAGCACCAAAGTAATTAATTTGACAACCGGTATCTTACATACAGCAATAAATTGCAACTACAATAAGCTGATACCTTCATTAGAGTCCAGTAGGCAAGAATGACTGCTTAACCCTTTTTTTTGTACTGTTAATTATTCAAAATTGAGAAGAAAGCAACAGACACCTGCAGATAGGCAGAGAGTGCTGTTGCACATACCATCTCAGACAAGGGTCAGGTGCCACAAATGTGATAGCAAGGTTCCATCTGATTCTTGTCTGAGTTGCTCTCAGTGCTGAGCCAAGTTTTTGAAAAGTATTGCTATACCATTTAGACATCAGTTCCTGCCTTTATCTGTCCCGACCCCATTCATGTTGCTGCCTGAAGCATGTCGTTTTTACCCTGTTGCCAAGTAGCAGGGTTGGCCCTGACCATTCGTAGACTACCATCCCCATTTGCTTCTTGGCTGAGCTTCCAGTTTGCCTCCAGATCCTGAGTTCTGACAGTACTGTGGGAGAACAGTGGGAGACTGGAAAGGTTTGAAGTCATAGCAAGTGTTTGAGGTTGGAAGAGTATGTCTTTATACTCCGAAGGCCCTACCTTAATCTGTAGAAGCCACACTTCTGGTACTGTTGTGCCTTACTTTCAACCTATATTTTGACAAAGCAGGATGAGGAAACGGTCAGCGAATGTGTTTGCACTATTTATCACAAACAGTAGATAAGAAAAAAAAGTTGAACTTTGTCATGGATGTGAAAAGGAAAAGGAAAAGTACAAAAACAAAAAACGTGGAAATAGAAATTTTAAACAAAACCTGTCTAATGCAGAGACTTCAAATGACTTATTATTATTATTATTATTATTATTATTATTATTATTCCCCACCTATCTGGCTGGGTTCCCCCAGCCACTCTGGGTGGCTCACAGTATACCGTATTTTCCGCCCCATAGGACGCACTGGCCCATAGGACGCACCTAGTTTTTGGGGGGAGAAATAAAGGGGAAAAAAATTATTTCCCCCCCAGGTGCGGGGCTGGGGTGGGGGAAGCCTGAGCTTCCCCCGACCCCAGCCCCCAGAACAGGCTGCTATTCGCTAGCCGTGGGAGAGCCGCGCGACTTTGCGCGGCTCTCCCACGGCTAGTGGAGCACTGCACGAAGCCCGAAGCTTGGATAGCTTCCTGAAGCCTGGAGAGCGAGAGGGGTCAGTGCGCACCAACCCCCCTCGCTCTCCAGGCTTCAGCGAAAGCCTTCATTCGCCCCATAGGACGCACACACATTTCCCCTTCATTTTTGGAGGAGAAAAAGTGCGTCCTATAGGGCGAAAAATACGGTATATCAGAACATACTAAAACATCAAGCATTCAAAACTTCCCAATAATGTATCCACAGCATGTTGTTGTTGTTGTTGTTGTTGTTGTTGATATTTATATTTATATTTATATTTATATTTATATTTATATTTATATTTATATTATCCCGCCCATCTGGCTGGGTTATGCGTATGAAAGAAAAACTCAGCACAACACATGAGAGGTTCCAAATATTCTTCCGTGGAGTTCTTTGAGGACCTGGAATGCCAGACATGTTTCAGTTTGGTCAGCCTTAGTCAGTGGTGTGTATAGTGGTTCCTTATGCATGAGTTGAGCTGTTTCCAAATATTGGTTATAGCAATACACAGCAGGCATTTGCCTTGTCCAAGTTATGCATTTCCTACTGGGCTTATCTTTGAAAGTGATGTAATGCTCCTGCAATACGCCTGGATTTTTAGTTAATGAGACATTTGTTAAGTACAAAATCTAAACAATAAATTAGTCAAAGTACAAGCCCCACATCTTTATACAAATGCAGAGTTTTCCGATGCCACGATGTGACTGCTCTCTCTTTCTGGTTGATTGGATTAATCATTGAGTCCTCATTCTGCCTTACCTGTCAGAAACGATGCCAGGTCTGGTATAGTTTTTTGTGACATCAAGTCAGAAAAGTCAAGTATTAGTTATTCTGAGCCATCCTGATTTAAATCAGTCCAGGCAAAGAAGAGCTCTATGCAGATCCTTCACCCCACTCCCTAGCCTACCCATATATTTTAAGGAAAGACAACACTTGTGAGCAAAACAATCCAAAGGGACATGTCTTTTAAAACCTGGAAAAACTGCTGGAATTATAGGGAATGGACAGTGTGGCATTGTACTACTGCATCATAAAGAATTTGTTATCAAGAATTTAATAATAATAATAATAATAATAATAATAATAATAATAATTAATACATTATTATTTATACCCCACCCATCTTTACCCACTTTCTGCTTGCCCTTTATTTCAGATTCTCATTTCCTCATCCTGTTTTCAGCTCCTACTAAGTGACATAGTACACTTCCTTTGTATGCTCATCTAACCTTTAGCCAAAAGGGTATCTATCAGAAACAGGCCACAGCCACGCAAAAAACATCAACTCCTATGATAAGTACCTCTCCTGACTCTGTCCTAATACTTTTTCTGAATTTTTGGATATGGAAGAGTATTGCTCGTAATTTCATTCAGGGTGCCAATAATTTGGAGCATCAGCAAGGAAATGTAGTCACCGCTTAAACAGAAGGGATGTGTGCATGTGTTTACAGTGGCCTTCAAAGTCATTCTTGTTGCAGATTTTTTTAAAAACAGTTTTAATAATCCCCCATCTAAAGCTACATAGTCAATGTAAGTATGTACTGAAACAAAATTCAGTTGCGGTTTGTTTTCAGAACACGAGAAGAGCTCGCCTGACTCAGACAGAAAATCTACTTGGTCCAGCATTTTTTCCCCACAAGCAGGGCAAAGGTGCAAAAACACTCTCCTGTTTGTATTTTGCCAAAAGGTAAAATAAAACATCTTGAGAGCATTAACAAATAAAGGCTACTGCATGAGAAGGATTCTGTTGATTTTTTAAAGGCAAGTAGATTTATAATACTACATTTTATTTTCTAGAAAGAAGTCAAAAGAAGTTGAAGACTATCAAAGTGAACTCCAGAAACTGACATCTGAAATTGGAGCATCCACATCTCAGTATGAGTCAGAATTTATTACAACTGTATGCAGATGCTGCTCTGAAATATGGAAAATCAAATTATTCTATTCACATGATGGTTTTACCGACATTTTTCATTTATCTTAGTTTTTCTCCTCTTTTGCTTTGTGCTGATTTTCTGTTTTTTATTCTCATATCTCCTCTTCTTCCCCAACCCTTTTATGATAACTCCCTTTCCCCTCATCAATTTCTGTAAAATGTTTACATTTTTAAGGCACAGAATTATTAATAACAAATGATGACAATAGTAATGTATCATGCTCTCTTTCTTGTGCTGTTTTATATATTTCATCAGTACACAGTCTGTTCACACTGACTTAACTACACTGGTATAATGCAGAAGAGTTATTTGCATAGTGTTCGCATTTACTGTAAGGGCCATGTCAGAATACATTTTATATATGCTTACCGACTGCTTCGGTTATTACATGCGGTCTTTTTTTTGCGTTTAGGTTTGCTAATACCCTGAAAGAGCGAGAAGAGTCTTTGCTTGCCTGCCAACAAGCATCTGGACGTTTACAGGAAGAAGTGATTGAGAAAGAGAGGAAAGAAGGAGAGCTAAAAAAACGCACCGACCATTTGGAGAGCGAACTGGAAATGATTAAGAGTCTTCTCAAGCAGCGAGAGGAAGAAGTGGTAATGCTTAGGCAAGAAAGGTAATCAGAAATGACTTGCCATGCATAGCGTTACAGGACAGGATGTTCTGCCTAGATTTTATTTCTGAGAATATCATCGAACTGAAAGTCCCCTACAAGTTGACTCTTCACAGTCCTCCACACCCAAAATAAATCATTACAGAGCACAGCATATTAACTGTGCACGGAACTAATAATATTTTAAATAATAAGGGGGGGAAAAATATTTTTAGGACAAGCCTATTCCCATTGAACGCAGTAAGGCTTAATCTCTAGTGGGTGTGTTTAGGATTTCAGCCTTAACTGCATAGGATTAGAACAGAAATGCTGACCCCAATCTAAAAGAAATTAATCATGTTTAAATCCCACTTAAGTCATCAAGAGAACTTTGTGACAGCTAACAAACCCCATCTGCATGATGTGAACTGCCCTGAGATTTACCAATGAAGGGCGGCATACACATTTACTATAAATAAATTAATTGGTTTCCAGTGGTAAATCATGACTGATTTCCTCTGGATATAGTACTTAAAATGTCTCAGATGCTCCACATACTACGACCACCACTTAGCAGCAATCTGTGTGGAGGGAGAATTCACATCTTTACAAGTGTCCTCAGAGATAGCTCAATTGGTAGCGCATGAGACTTAATCTCAGGACCGTGGGTTCAAGCCCTGCATTGGCCAAAAGTTTCCTGCATCGCAGGAGGTTGGACTAGATGATCCTCGTGGTCCCTTCCAACTCTACAATTCTATTAGTCGATTGTTCTATAAGTGGATGTTTCTTGGAAGGCCTGCACTGCCCCCTGCCTTCCACCAGCATCTGAAATTAAGGATGTGGGGCCCCAACCACCTCATTTGCTAGCTGCTCAGCAGCAGTGGCTATTTCCTGCCCTCCACAACCACCCTCCATGATCACTGCTGACATCTCTGGGAGATGATTCAGTAATATTGTCCACATGTTGCTGATGGGGACCTAGTAGCTTATCTCAAGCAACCTAGTGAGTTCAAGGCAAACTTGATGTTTGAATGATGCAGTAGTTCACATCAGACACAGGCATCACATCAGATCAGTTCTCAGCTACGACATATCTGTTTCAGTGATGATATTCACGTATAACAACTATGTTCATCTCTCTCTCTCCCTCTCTCTCTCTATATATATATTTAAAAGCTTGTAAAATCGTTCCCTGCCTGTTTTTCTAAGCATGCTATCCTTTGAGCGATCTTTCTGGTTCTTCAAATAATGGTATCTTCAAATAATGCTTGCAATGAAATGACATAAGAACATAAGGAGAGCCCTGCTAGATCAAACCAAAGAACCCACCTAGTTTAGCATCCTCTTCTCACACTGGCCAATGAGATGCCTATGGGAAGTTTGAAGTGAATCATGAGGGCAAGAGCACTTTCTCCACTTGAGATTCCCAGCAAGTGATGAAGAACTTAACCACCAAGAGCTGTAGTCAATGCTAGTCCTACTCAGAGCAGACCCTTTGAAATGAATGAGCATGACTTTAGTTTCATTAATTTCAATGGGTCTTCTCTGAGTAGGGCTAGCATTGGCTACAACCCCAGGGTTAGTAGCTAGGGATAGCCATGTCCTCCATTAATTTGTCTAATCCTGAATCTATTATCCTCAGTAGTGCAGCATCATTTATACAGCAGGTGTTTTCATTTTCATAAGAGTGCAAGCAAATAATTATAATTGTCTAGTGAACACCTCATTTCTGCCGAACTCACTTGTCAAATTTGACCCCAAGTCAGATCCTGATAAAAAATGTAGTCTTTGGAGCTAAAATGGCTTGCCACCCCTGGCTTAAAATCTCTAGCTAAGAAGAGTCCACCATCTTCTAAGGCAGACCCTTCCACTGAAGCTGAGATTGGTTCATTTCCTTCATGAAAAAAACACCCATGGAGCATCTGTGTGGATTTTGCAGAGCTTTCGACATAGTTCTCTGCATGCATTCTTCAGAGGGAAACCATTAACAGTGAAATTGGCCCATAGTGGTGGTGTTTAATTTGACTACATTACCTAAGATGTGAATTCTGCAGACTGATTCAACATCTACTGACAATGGGTTTTGGATAGGCTCTTAAAGGTTCTTTAATCCTTGCTGGTCATTGACCGTATTAAAGATATTTATTTTAATCCAAGCTCCCCCATAGCCGCCCTATACTGAGTCAGACCATTGGTCCATCTAGCTCAGTACTGCCAACACTGACTGGCAGTGGCTCTCTAGGGTTTCAGACAGTGAGTCTCTCCCAGCTCTACCTGGAGATGCTGGGGATTGAACCTGGGACCTTCTGCATGATTTATAAAATTTTCAAACTGTGTCCCAGTGAAATACTGTAACATTACCAATTTATTCAATACAGTAGCCCCAGTAATACCATGTTTCTGCTCTGTAAAGGGCCCCTAAGTGGAAACACAACGTGGATTACATTAGACATGGAGTGGGGTTGAAATTTGGCCAAGACAAGATGTCTGGAGATATGTGAGCTGATCAGCTCTACCTCTCTTTTAATCAGAACCAGTGAAGGCGGTGAAGGTCCTGTGTGAGTGTCTGGAGGCAGTTGGAGGATGGATGGCGACTAACAGATTGAGGTTGAATCCTGACAAGACAGAAGTACTGTTTTGGGGGGACAGGAGGCGGGCAGGTGTGGAGGATTCCCTGGTCCTGAATGGGGTAACTGTGCCCCTGAAGGACCAGGTGCGCAGCCTGGGAGTCATTTTGGACTCACAGCTGTCCATGGAGGCACAGGTCAAATCTGTGTCCAGGGCAGCTGTTTACCAGCTCCATCTGGTACGTAGGCTGAGACCCTTTCTGCCTGCGGACTGTCTCGCCAGAGTGGTGCATGCTCTGGTTATCTCCCACTTGGACTACTGCAATGCACTCTACGTGGGGCTACCTTTGAAGGTGACTTGGAAACTACAACTAATCCAGAATGCGGCAGCTAGACTGGTGACTGGGGGCGGCTGCCGAGACCATATAACACCGGTCTTGAAAGACCTACATTGGCTCTCAGTACATTTCCGAGCACAATTCAAAGTGTTGGTGCTGACCTTTAAAGCCCTAAACGGCCTCGGTCCAGTATACCTGAAGGAGCGTCTCCACCCCCATCGTTCTGCCCGGACGCTGAGGTCCAGCGCTGAGGGCCTTCTGGCGGTTCCCTCATTGCGAGAAGCAAAGCTACAGGGAACCAGGCAGAGGGCCTTCTCAGTAGTGGCGCCCGCCCTGTGGAACGCCGTTCCAGCAGATGTCAAAGTGATAAACAACTACCTGACATTCAGAAGACATCTTAAGGCTGTCTTCAGGGAAGTTTTTAACGTGTGATATTTTACTGTATTTTTGGTTTCTATGGAAGCCGCCCAGAGTGGCTGGGGAGGCCCAGCCAGATGGGCGGGGTATAAATAATAAATTATATTATTATTATTATTATTATTATTATCATCATCATCATCATCATCTCCCATTGTTTCTTAAAGTTTAAAAGCAGCAGTGAGGAGGGGAGGATTTCAGCCTGGAACTGCAGTGCTGGGGAAGTGGAGCTTAACCCTTCTTCTGTGTCATGTTCCCAATCTATATTGGGCATCCCATTTGCTTCCTAGGGATAATATTCAGCTACAGTGGTACCTCAGGTTAAGTACTTAATTCGTTCCGGAGGTCCGTTCTTAACCTGAAACTGTACTTAACCTGAAGCACCACTTTAGCTAATGGGGCCTCCTGCTGCAGACATGCCGCCGGAGCACAATTTCTGTTCTCATCCTGAAGCAAAGTTCTTAACCTGAAGCACTATTTCTGGGTTAGTGGAGTCTGTAACCTGAAGCGTATGTAACCCGAGGTACCACTGTACTTGTGTGGGATATGCATTTTTTCTCTCCCGTGGGGCAAATACCTTTGGTAGGAGGGACAAGAATGGTGCAGAGAAGAGAATTAACCCCTTCTCTCAGTGTCAGGGCCCCAATCCAATCGTGCTGTTTTAAAACCACCACAATGTCTTATCACCTAGTTTGACCCTTAGTCTTTCACTTCCAAATACATGGTCTGTCAAGAGGCCCAACAAACTTTGGATTCCATAGCCCATCAGTCACTGAGCAGATGTCATTTTGTAGCCTTTCCAAATGGTGCCTGCATTCTGTTGTTTGTTGGAACATGTAGCCCCACTTAATTCACACAGTTCAGTGGAAGTTGAGCAAGTGGAAGTTGCATGTATGTATAAATCCCACCACCGGGTGACTAATAATGTCACCGCATAGAAATTAAAGTTGCAGGTGAAACTTTGAATGAATGGGCTCTTGCTTCTTTCAGAACAGTGCAGTAGTAACGGAAATTAGGAGTCCAGCAAGTGCAAGTTCTTGCTTCACAGGAGAAGCTGCACTTGCTAAACTTCTCCACGGCAGACCTTCATAAGCTAGCAAACATTTATTTGTATAGTTAATTGAATAAAGTTTCACTGGCTGGGACAGAAATGCTAGGAGTGTTCTTTCTCCCTACAACGTTCATTTTTCCATCTATATATGTTGAAAGTACTCCTTCTGACAAAGAGGCATTTTACAGGAACAGATAGGAGTAGATTGCAATCCAGATCTATCAGCAATCACAACATACCCCCCTCTGCCCTGTGGCACCAACCAAGGGCTCTGATACATTCACAGTTCTTCATGTAAGCAGAAGCTGGTGCTTTCTCTTAACACTGCAAAAATTCACAGACCTTCTTGCACAGAGCTCTGTGTACTCAGAGGAACCCTGCAGAGCATCTATCGGGCATCGTTTCAAGCAATGAGATTTTAATTAGAACAAGTGTTCCCAGCCCTTGCCAGCTTCCTTTAAATCAAGGAAAATCTTTTCCAGGGCAACACACCCAGAATACTCTGCAGGTCACAGAGTGATCTCACTTTTAAGTCTGGGGATCAGCTGGCTATCAGAATCATTTCCTTCTTCCCATAGTAGAAGCTGCTTTTCTGGGAGATAGTTGAGTGGAATATAAATTGTACCCATACCACCACCAGCTCCCATCTAATTGGGGCTGGGCATGTCAGTACTTGCTTTGACCTCTGTGCCCAAGGAGGACTGGGAATGAAGAACGATGAGAGCCTTGAAATCAGGGCTGAGGCCTTTGCATGTGGCCCACGAGGCTGTTTTTGTAAAGCCATGCCCACCTTGCCTACATCTGATGCCACACGTGTCAATATTTATCCAGTCGTATGAACTGAAAATTATTTCAGGCACAGAGAAGTATTTTACATCAATGTATTCACAAGATTGCACATCAGTAATATTACAAATACAGTGCGGTACATGAGCTGGAGTCAACTACATCAATATTTTTAATTATAGTGTGAAGCATACAGGGGCTCTAACTAGATTTCTGAGCCCATTGCAGTAATAGCAAACAAAATTAATTAGAAAGAGAGAGCATGTGTTGTAGTTGAATGGTGAGAGGGAAGGTAAATCTCATAAGCTAGAGCTGGTTTCCCCCACTCTTTCCATAGAAACTCTGGTGTTCATGGATATTTGTCATATTTAGGGAGTCTCTGCTGATTTCCCATTGGAGCAGAATGGAGCAACTGCAGGAAACATTGAGGCAGAAGGTGCTGAAGGAAAAGAACTGGCAGGAAAAGGTAATACTGGATTTCCAGTGTCACGTTTATTTGTTTTCTCCAACTTCAGTCAGTTGTCAGGCAAATGTGCCCGACACTCATTTCCTAACAGCTTCTGTTCAGCTACTCTTTCATATTTTTTCATCCAAAATTAAGGTTACTGTACAAAAAAATACTGATTTATTTATTTAAAATGTTTATTCCAACATACAACTCCACAGAAACACAGGGCAGCCTATGGCATTTTAAAAAACATGGTGAATGTAAAAGCAGGAGAGGCAGGGTTAGCATTTCTGCTTAAAGACCCAATGCTATATAACGCATGACTCAAAATATTCAGCTGCCATTTTGTGTGTTCATCACCATATTTGAAGCAAAAGGCAACATTTGTCTGGGAAGGTGAGCTAGGATCCCTTAGCTGAGACAAAACATGTCTCAGACCCTCTGTATCAGCCTTTGCCAGCCTGGTGCCCTCAGGTGTGGTGGGGGTTGTAGTCAAAAAAATCTGCAGGGCAACAGGCAAACACAGCTCTATACACTAGCGTGGGACCTCCTGAAAATATTAGTGCCCAACTTTCCTCCAGTTCCTAATCTAATACAAGCAGAACTGTGTCACCTATTGACTGGCTATGGAAAGTCCTGACAATTTGTTTATTTGTTTAAGGTATTTATATATTGCTTAGTTACTGAAGTATCGAAGTGGCGAGTCTCCTTTTGAACTCTTTCTCACGGTGAAGAATCTGCTGTTGGTCTCCTCCACTTCTTGCAAACCACACTGCTTGTTCATGCAATAAACCTCAGACATGCTGATATGTTGCTTTTTAAAACCCTCTTTGAGCAGTTCACACATGCATCACTTGGTTACTTGCAGTTGAATGTGTGAACTTACTCCACTGAATGCCATCGGGGTTTTTTGCAGGTTCTTTCTGTGGTGCCTCGTTTTCATGTTTATAACAAACATACAATGGCTCATCTACAGACTTGATAATGTGAATAAGTTCCATATTAGACAGCTGTTCTCTGTCTTCTATTCAGGTGTCTGGGCTGAGGGATCTGCAATCTTTTGTTTCAAACAACTTCCTCAAAAGTCTACTTATGTTCTTTACTCATGATTGGTCATTAAACCCCAAGCTTTCAATGCCAGGCTCTTAATGTTCACATCTTTTATCCCAGTAGGCACAGATTATACACATTCATCATCATTTTAGGCTTTTATTAATAAATATATCAAGCTGTCCTAAACAACTTAATTTCTCACATATAGGATATAATTTTAGCATGAGGTCACTCTGTTTGCACCATCAGAATTTGTTGTGCAACTTGACATTTAAAATGGATAAAGAACTAACAGAAATAAGAGACAGCACTTAGATTTGCTAACCAGTATTAAAATGTGCTGAATGTCAAGTGTTCTGAAAATGCTCTCATCAGACCAAAGAGATGTTGCTGTATTTTTCTTGGGTCATTGTGCCATTACATAGGCATAATGTGTTCCCTTTATTTTTTAAAAAAATCAATCCACATGTTTTGTTAAATGGGAAAAAATCTCTTTTAAAATTAAGTTGCTTCAAGTGGTGTTTTGGCATTTAATGCATGGAGTTATAAAAATGCTCTGCAAGTAGAAGAAATCAATTGTTGCTATGCAACTTGAACAAGATAATTGAGAAATGTCTTTCAGAATCCTCATTATTATGGTTATTAGTTCCCCTGATTTCAGGTGTTTGCTAAATGGGAAACATTTTCATCCTGAGAGTAGTTTCCAGTGATGTGTCAATACTGCCAGTCAACTTTCATTTCAGACCCCCGCTGGTAATGTTTAAGTGTACTTCAGCCACTTCCCTGACCTGCACATGCAACATATAATAAACCCTTGTGCTGCACTTCAGCAGTGATGAGGTCCACTTCTTTACCAGCACAGAGGTGATGTCCTGATAGGAAAAACACAATTATCCTGATTTGTAAGCAGAAGTATACACAGAATGGGTGCTGCCCACACATTTCACAGGGTTAAAAAGCCTGATCTGGGAGTTGAGGCTGTGCTCCCCTCTTTCCCCAAAGAGATGTCCAGCAGTACTCAATTTGACTGGGGTTGGGGTTCTTTCTAGGTTGGGCATCAGCCCAGCAAAATGAGCATAGCAGAGGGCAAGGGCACATTTAAAAGGCATCAAGTATAAGCCCTGCCTGCCAAGGAACTATTGAAGGTGCATTTAAAGACTCCTGATAGTCCTTTGCCGCCATGTTCCTTTTCACCCGCGTCTTCAACTTGCTCCACATTTGACATTATATCAAGTGTGGGGAACGTGGGTATGGCTTGCACCAAACTGCCTTGTGGGCCAAATCTGTACAGCTGCCAGGTTGAAAGGCTGGAGCTCCCCCACTGCTTGTCTGTGCCAAAAAATGTTGACATTTCTCGTAAATGTTCATGAAGTTCTCATAATGAGAGCTTGAGAGTGCGCCAAGGTGTGAATCTCTGATTAGAAAGCTGCAATAACGAGACCATCCTTTTGTGTGGGCTCCAGTCATTCTGCTAATTTGCCTTTGAGATATAATCGAAATAATGCTTTTCAGAGCAAGCAAAAGTTCTGGGTGTGCTCACACTTCCTTGAGCAATGAGAAATTCTTGAGGTTACGTTACAGAGCTTAGGTTCTGTTGGGAGAGAGGGGGAAAGAATAGTGGAGACTATTTTCACCTATGCAAATGGAAGCAAAGAGACGTGTTTAACAGTTTTTCAGATTTCCAGAAAGAGCCCGTACTTCACCTTCCACAGGCAAATGTCCCACCATTCCCTCTCCCCAAATTCGTTCTTCAGACTGGCTTCAAGCTGTTTCTGTGCATTGCCTTCTAGCTTTGAGGGGTGTTGCATTTTGGAGGCGAGAGTCATCGGGGAACAAATCCCTGAACCCATTTAGGCAACTCCTTAGGCAAAATCACTGTGTTAATGATTCACTCTTAGCAATACAACCCACATTCAGATCATCAAAACAATATGTTGGCATGCACTTAAGTTCTATTGAAAACAATTGGAATGGAGCTTAGACTGCAATCATCTGCACACTAACTGGAACCGAGCATCATCAAGCAAGGAGGTACTTGTTTCCAAGTAAACATCCATAAGATGAGCTGGCTGTGTGAAGTTTAGAGACCAGTGGTGCATCAGGCACTTCAGATGGCAACGACAGCTATCTATATCTGTGTGTATTCATACAATATTGCTGATAGCTTTTATATTTCTCTGTGATTAGCATTATATATATATTATGGTTTTGCATGCTTTGTATATTTCATACCAATGAAAAGTTATAGATATAAATAGATACATACAGGCTGTTCATCTTGATTAACAGAATTTTTTACCACCCCCTTTTTCTGAATTGGGTGCCTGTACATTCAATGTAAAACAAGACACGAGTTGAACAGATACTTACTGACACCCAGGTTTTTCGCTTTCTAGATCAAAGCTGATAGAGCAAAGGAACAAGCTCATCACAAAGAGGAGATTCTCAGCCTCAAAGAGGAAGCCAGAATGGAACTAGAAATTGAGAAACAAAAGCATCAAGAATTGATTGCAAAATATCAGAAAGATCACGATGACCAGCTACACCTTAAGGTTTTAGCAACTAGAAATAAACTGCTTTGGGATTTTGACAAATGCACTGGGCAGGGGGGAATTCACTTAATTTCATCATGTAGATCAAATGATACCATGGGGCGGTTAGATACAGTCAGGGTGTTAGACACAGACAGAGTCACAGTCTAGGTTTTGAAGATTTAGAGCTGACATCAATAAACAATCCCAGAATCAATAGTTATTGTTGACATGGGCAAGCAGCAAAAGAGTGTTTTAGTTACAGCATGTTGCTCAAACTGGACTTGTTTATAGAGTCAAGACGCCCAGATTGTCATTTCTGAGTTGTAATCCTGTCTACAAAATTTGAGGAATCCCTGGGAGTCTCAGGCACACCCTTTTGCGACTCCCTTCGGACTTTTACAGATCACAATGTTCTTCTGTGTGACTGTGAAATCCATCAATCAGAGGCAGCAGCTCTGCTGTTAAACACATTTATCCCACTTCAGAAAAGAAATGAGTCAGGAACCCTCTTTCCATTCATTTTACTTCTTGAGCTCTGCCCCTTGAGGCTGATACTTCGAAGAGTCCAAAGTGACTTCTATGGTGGCTGTCCCAGGAAAACTGATCATGTAAACAGGGTAATTCTCACATGTCTATGTGCTTGAAGTAAATTCTGATTATCAAATGGTAAAAGAATGTGCAATCAATCTAATGCAGTGTTGCATTTTGGTATAAGCCCAAAATTCCTAACCCAATTTTTATTTTATTGCTCTGGCTTCTCCTGTTTTGAAAATGCATAAAGATCATATTTGGGGCCGGGAAGGGGGAAGTGATCAATGTTCAATAGAGGAGAATATGCAGAAGGTTCCAGGGTCCATCTCCAGTAGTGCTGGACCCAAGTATCTTCCCAGTGATTTTTATAAGTTTTGGAGAGGGAATGAACTCTCCCCCTAATCCAGTTGGCTGGAGGTGGGGGAAAGCAAATTCTTCACATTTTTGTGAGGAAGAGGTGTGTCTTACCTTTTGTATGCAAGGTGGCTAGGAGTTTCTTCCTTCTACACCTGCCACCCTCAAAAAAGGACATTTCCTCTTCAATGAAAGAGAAGCTGGCTGGGAAGAAGATAGGATTAGGGCTGCCATATGTCCAGAATTTCCCGGTCATAGCTGGGATTCACCCATCAGAAATAGCGTCTGGGCGGAATTTGCAGAAATCGGTAAAAACGTCCAGGGAAACCTGAGCATATATAGCAACTTTGCCCAAAAAACCCAACCCTCAACAACTTTTGTGTCTGAATTTTCATTTTTTGAAATACAGCAACCCCAAGTAAGACCAGAAAAGTAAAGGAAGTTGAGAAGCCATTGGCAGCCACCTCTGTAGAAGGGAACAGGCACTGTCTTCTCTCACAGCCCCCGCCATGCCTTTGTGCCGCACTGCAGCTCACTTGGCAAGGATCACCTCAGAATTTCTGGATTTGAGAAGCAGGATCTGCTTTGCAGAGCTTGTCATTTGTTAAGATCAGATTGGCAGTCACCGGGAACAGGGCCTTTTCATTGGACAGGCTCCATTATGGAATTGCCTCCCTGAGAAAATCCAGCAGCTAACATCCCCACTTCATACAGAGTCTTCAGACATGTCACAAAGGCTTGTTTGTTTGTTTGTTTGCTTGTTCTGCAAGGCTTTCTATGAGCAAAACTTTCTATCTCAGTGCTGACTTCTGGATACTTAAAACTTTTCTGCTACATTATTTATGGATCTTTTTAGTTCTTTGCCATTTATTTTATTCGTTTATTGGAAAGCAAATTAATGAATAAAATATACAACATAATAAATATTCCTTGTTCATTCATTTGTGATCTGTCCTTGAACTAGTGCAGTTTGCTCTCTCTCTTGTCCTAGTGCAGTAATACACTTACATAAAGAACAGGCATGCCCACACAGCTGTTTATCGTGGACTTGGATTTAAACAGATATTATATATGTATATAGTTTTAATTATGTCATGGTTTAATTGTTTTTAATTATTATTATTTTCTATGTTTTTTGCAATTCTTGTTTTTATCTTTATCTTGAGTCCCATTAGGAAAAAGGTGAGGCAATAATAATAATAATAATGCACATTTTTTGCATCTTCCACAAAACATTATCCTCATCAAGATGTTGTCCCGTGCCCCCACTTTAAACCAGATATGCCATTCTGCTTTTCCTTTCAACATCTAGTTTTCCCCCCCTGAAAAGGTAAATCCTGATTAAATGGGGAAATAATACTTAATGGCATTTTAAGGAGGACAGTATTGTGTGGGTCCACGGTGTAAAATGTGCAAGCATCAAGTCCACAATAAACTGGAAAAACCCACCCCTTTTTAAAGAAAAAAAGGCCACACATTTTATCTGAATTATTGTTAGCACTGCTGATTTATGAAGTGATGATTTCACATCTTTCTCCGTCTTTTGAAACCTCACTTAACCCTACTGAAAATGTGTTTAACCAAAGGGGTGCCTTGCCATCACGCCTTGCAAACCAATGAATGTCATTATTTGTCTTTCAGATACCTGCATTGATATCAAGTGCCACGAATAGCCTGAAGATGGAAGTGGGCACCCTTGAAAAGAAGCTCTGTGAAGCCCAGATCAAGCTTACAGAGAAGCACCGAGAGAGAGAGGAGGAATGGCAAAGTTTAAAAAAACAAGTTGCCGTGCTTGAGCTCCAGCTGCAGGAGGAACAGAGCGCCCATCATTCAGTGACAGAAGACATGAGAGAAGAAATAAAGAAGAAAACTTATGAGCTGGAAAAACTGACTCAAGAGCAAACGCAGTTGATTCAGAAAATGAATCAGGTTCAAGAGGAGGTATGAATTCAACCAGGGTTCACAATTGAATGTCTCATCTCTTAAGTCCTTTACATGCCTTGTCTTGGTTGAGACCTAACCATCCTAGTCCAACAAACTTGGGAGCAAGCCATGAATCTGCACAGTCTTTCTTCCCCAACCTTTTCCTCCTCTCTTGTGCACCTTCCTGGTTGCTTAATGTGTACATGGTCATCCATGACATCAGAGCCAAAAACTAGAATATCTAACCAAGATCAACTTGCGTTTTGATGTCCTGGTATGTAGGGATCTTTCAAAACACAGTTTCCCGGTTTGGACATCATGAGAAACTGTGTTAAGAAATAAGGAAGTGTTCAGTTAAGACACAATGGAAGAGATGGAGGGATCATCAGGCACAGAGCTTGTTCCTGGTTGAACAAACAGTGGTTTGTTGCATTAGGATTGTTAAGCCCATTATGTTGAACATGTGGAAGAGGGGAGTGGGGTTGCACATACTGACCTAGCTCCCAAATTCTACATGCTCATTTCACTGTCTGCATCAGTGTAGTAGGGTTCTCTCCGCGTCCTCCAATACTTAAGAAACCCGCTTTCCCAGAAAGCCCTACATGTATACCATAGTACATGCATAAGTTATTTGCTGGGAGGAGCGCAGAGAGAAGAAATACCATAGTGCATCTCTAGCAGCACAACCGGATGCCTTCATCTGCCCTAGCTACAACAAAACATGTCTCTCCCATATTGGTCTCTACAGCCACAGCAGACACTGTAACCTTCCAACAGTTTGTTTTCACCCACAAAGACGCACTCCTCCATTATCTCCCAAGACAGATGGATGCCAACCAAGTTGTTTGCAGACAGTCAGGCACAGGGAAGTCTAGAGCAGGGACACTGCACAATGCTGTTGACTTTCATATGTTCAGAGCAACATGCAAAAAGTTATCATTGCTCATCACTTGAAAGCACCCATAGCTGTCTGATCAGAACTGGCTCCACTGATAAGTGTCATGTCAGACGAAACAAAATTTTTGGAAGAGGTACATCTTTGTGTAGCATTTGAGCTGCAGTGACTTTCACACATTTGAGTGTTGCTGCCATCAAGTGATGAGCCATTGTGTGTGAACTCATCCCTCGAGCATGTCTGGTTTGCAGGATACAACCAGGAATATAGGGAATTGAACCAAGCCCAAGAGTATGAGGATCTAAGGAAACCTTTCTCTTGGGACATATTCATGGAATTTTATCAGCCCGTAGAAACAGCAACAATGATGCAGGAAAATGCATGGCAACATCATTCCTGAATGAGTGTAGTCTGGCCCCAGGGTGAAGGCATCCTTTGTGGTAGCAGTGTCAGGGCCGCAGATTGACCAAGGTTGTCCCATTCTGCGCATGACCCTCAACAGAAGCTGTGTCCACATTTCTCCCTGCTCCCGCTTCTCTTCCAACAAAGAGCACATATCCTTTTGAAGTCTCCAGGGAGTTCTCTGCTAGCCGCAGACAAAGCGCCCCAGACACAATAAAAGTGCCCTGTGAAATGTAGCTGTCAAGTTCAGTCAGACTGTGGTAGTGACCTTGAATCTTGCAAAATATAGTAGGAATAGTAGTACATAGGCCAGAACAAGACATTCTGAAATAGAATATGCCAAAATAGAATAAACCCCAAAGACTCAGCTGCGTGTAGGAATTACGAGCCAGATGTCAAAAATTATCAATCCAAATGGGACGTGCTAATTTTCCTTGTGACAACTGATTGGATTACTTATTAAAAGTAATTTGTACCCCAGTTTTCGGTTTTTAAAAATGCCCAAGGTAGCTTATAATAAAATAATTAAACAGTGGAAAAATCAAAACACTAATACACCCCAAAAGAGGCTAAGAACTGGGAGGTTTCTTTAAAAAAGATTTAAATAGCTCAGATTCCTGAGAGTATGAAACATTTGAGAAGCCAAACACCAAAATCAAAAAGAGTTCAGAAAATGGCAGCCATCTGAGATCAGGCAAGATAAGCCTATGCAGGGACATAGGCCATCTCAGGGTGATTACATCCCTTTCTACAAATTCATGCCATATTTTGGAAAGGGTACTGCAGATAAGGCAACCTAAGGGCCAAACAAGACAATATTAATGTCTCTAGCCCTTACGTGAATAAGCCCTTTTCTAAAACATGAATAGCCAGCATGGATGCAAAGGGGCAATTCAGATAGGGACCGTAGTGAGATCCTCTGCCACAGTACTGATCAATGGATAGAAACAAAAATCAGGTATGGGAAACCTGTGGCCCTACAGATGTTGTTGGACTCCAACTCCCATCAGCCCCAGCTAGGATGGCCAATGGCCAGCCAGGATGGGAGTTGTAGTCCAACAACAACTGGAGGACCACAGTTTCATCCTCCTTGTCCTAGGGGAAAGAGATGCAAGCATGAGGGTTAGGTTTTGTCCTTTTGTTTTGGTAAAATGATGGCATGTTTTGCTAAATCTCCACAATCCAAATATTTCCCTTTGTGTGGCATTAGAACGAAGGTAGACAGGTGCAAGCTACACCTGCTGAAATTTCCTCTTCTGTATAACTGTTAATGGTGTAGACCATCCTAATGATGTTCTGCAGTCAATAAGAGAGCAAGTCCTTGATTCACATCTCTTTAAAAAAACACACCAAAATTTTGCTAAATACAATATCAAATTGAGAGCAAACATAAACAGATACAACTAGGCCATATGGTACTGAACCATGTGAGTTTGGGTAGCTTTTTAGGTCATCATAAAACTCTGCCACTAAAATAAATATGTTTATCTCTGAGACTGTACCATATGCCCCCCTGTCTCCCACTGAAAGGTGGAAAAGTTGAGCCATTCAAATAGACATTTGTAACCAGAGGCTGTTAAGTTTTATTTCTTGCCCCAAACTTTCTTGACCTTGCTTGCAGGGTGGGAGCCAGTCAATTTTGGGGTATTGATGAAAGAGTGAATATATCACCTTTAAATATTTTAGTACCACCTTTGCTTTTAAATATTTTTAAATTGCTTGATGTGATTTCGTCTCTCTCAACAAGGTCTTATTTTGGATTCATACTAAAATAAGACCTCATTATTCAGATTCAGATTGAAATAGGACTACTAATGAAATCAGACTGAGCTCATAATTTAGAATCAGATCCTTCACAATGTCCTTGACTCTGTTGGGGTTTGTTTGCTTTTAATTCTTTATAAAATGCAAAACCATCTAACACTTTTCCAGCCCTTAATTCTCAGTGGTTATTGCATGCCAAGGCCCCATGACCCACATTTCCCTAGTAGATAATAAACACATGTACACAAGTATTTTGGCTTATGGGTTCAAATAGGCCACAATTTTATTGGTTACAGATGTGAGTGATTTGGCTTAGGCATTGGGTGAAGCCAGGCTGTATTTCGACTCCCACCTGTCTGCAGGGAGTCCAGCTAAGAGTAAACCACCAATAAGAGGAGCCCTATAACTTACATCAAATGGGGGCACCCCAAGGGGTCCCCATAGGGGTCATGGCATGGTCCTAGCCCACGTCCGGGCATCGGACAGAAGCCACATCCTTGGATCCATTTAAAGATGAGCGGTCTTGCTGCAATGAAGGTGAAGGTAGACGTGTGTGTTAAAAAAATTCCAACTCACTCCTTCCAAGGGCTTGAGGCACATAGACATCGCCAAAGAAATTTCTGAACCATGTGATCTTCCGGGGGGGGGGGGCGGATATATGGCCTTTGCAGTTCTGTTGTCAGCAAATCTAAGTGCTATACAGTTGCTGGAAAAGGCATCCAACTGACATTCAGTTCAATGTGGCTTGCACAGTATAATTCTTAATGCTGGGTTACGCACTATAACTCAGGAAAAAGGGTTTTGCTCCATTTATTAACTTAAATGCAGCTTGAATATCTAGTATCATTGTGGATATTTTCCTCTACCATTATCATCCTTTTCTCATTTAACCTTAACCGCAATTCTGTTGAGAAAAGTGGTTGAAAATAAAATGGACAACTCAAGGCAGATTTATAAAATTATGAATGGTATAGACATAATTTGTCTTGTTTATTTTTTGTTTATTTAATTTACAGACAATTTAGAGAGAGTGTGTGTATGAATGACACACACAAACATATACACACACACAATAAGTACAATGGTACCTTGGTTTATGAACTTAATCCATTCCGTAAGTCCTTTCTTAAACCAAAGCATTCTTAAAACAAGGCATGCTTTCCCATAGCAGCGGGGGACTCAATTTAAAAATGGAACACACTCAACAGGAAGCGGAACGTGTTTTTATTCCAAGGCAAAGTTCACAAATCAAAACACCTACTTTCGGGTTTGCAGCATTCTTAATCCAGGTTGTTCATAAACTAAGCTGTTCTTAAACCAAGGTACCACTGTACAATAAAAACCATGTCAAATAATTTACACAAGAGAACAAATGTACAAAGAATATCCATATAGATAAAACCAGAGAGCATTAAGAAGGCAACATAATGAAGATTATTCAAGCAATATAGCACACATTCATGCAACTTGCCAATCTCACTCAGCAGTCCACACGGCCACCAGAACCTTTCACTGCCTCATACATTTTGTCTTATCGACCAGCCACTCAAACATAAACTACTCACACTCAACAATATCACAACTCGCATACAAAGGATTCTGCCAAGGACCATATAACACTGGTGCATTTGCTCTCAGTACATTTCCGAGCACAATTCAAAGTGTTGGTATTAACCTTTAAAGCCCTAAACAGCCTCAGTCCTGTATACCTGAAGGACCGCCTCCAACCCCACTGTTCACCCCGGACACTGATGTCTAGCTCTGAGGGCCTTCTGGAGGTACAGGGAACCAGGCAGAGGGCCTTCTTGGTAGTGGCATCCACCCTGTGGAACGCCCTCCCATCAGATGTCAAGGAAATAAACAACTATTTGATTTTTAGAAGACATCTGAAGGCAGCCCTGTATAGAGAAGCTTTTAATGTTTGATGTTTTATTGAATTTTAAATATTTTGTTGGGAACCACTCAGAGGGGCTGAGGCAACCCATTCAGATGGGTGGCATATAAATAAAATTGTTGTCTTTCCCTTGATTGGGACACTATACATCAGTTAGAATAGCATTAGCTTTTTTGCTACTGCATCACAGTGTTGACTCCTGTTATTTTTATGGTCTACTAAGACCCCTAGATCCTTTCCACATGTACTACTGGAAAGCCAGGTCCGCCCCCCCCCAATCTTATATTTGTGCAGCTGGTTCTTCTTGCCTAAGTTACCTTTTGACTATGTGGTTTTTTTGTATATTTGGTATTTTTAAAAATGAACAGTGGTATATAGTATTTTAATCAAGTTGTATCCAGGGTCAGTTTTGTGTCTAGCCAAAGAACCAAGTGGAGCAAGCATTTCCAAAAAAGCAAACATCTTTTGAAGCTGAGGTGAGTTTCAAAAGCAGTTTGTGATGCGTCATGGCACTCTGCACTGTTCAAAGGAAAGACTGTTTTAGAGAGCCCTGAGCGCATCTGAACTCTAAAGTACCTCTCTGCATCCCAGGCACAGATGTTCTGTCACCACACCCAAGGCAGAAGAACGCGGCAGCCAATACTTTTACTGACATGAATACGTTGCTTATCTGTTTTCAAGCGTTTCAGCACATAATGCGTAGTCGCCTGTGCACTCTGTTCCTTGAGTCCTCTACGTTTTAAGAAGAAAGCACGCAATATTTATACCTTTTCTTTTTGTCTTCCCTGACAAATGCCTTATGAAATATGTCTTTCTTTATGCTCGCAGAATGCTCTTCTCCAGGACACAGTGCGCAGGGAGTGTGAGGAACGGTATGAGCTCACCGAAGCCTTGGCTCAAGCCAAAGAACAAGTCGTGGAGCTAAAGAAACTCGGTGGAAACTTCCAATTGTCACAGTGTTCTCTCAGTCAGGGCAGCCTAACCTCCGCTGCATTGGTCAGCAATCACAGGCAGAGGAGCCCAAACTGTGGGAAAGGAATAACATTCTCGGGACACTGTGGGATTTCAAGAGCCACTAAAGCACCACTCTCGAATAGGTACAAAAGCGGCATGAACGCAAGCTTGCCTGCTCTGCCTGCGCTGCAGTCCCCAAGCAGAAAAACATCTCTAGATGAATCCAGGAAGAGAATCACAGCAGTTCTAAAAAGACAGATGAGTGAGCTGTGATGAGTCAAGGACTGCACTCTCTCTCTCTCTCTCTCTCTTTCTCTTTTATCGAGAAGAGTCAGGGAAAAAAACAGTGGCATAGGTCATTAGGCCACCTCAGTGTGGCCCACAGGGGAAAATACCAGATTTTACTGTCGGGCAATTAGCATGTTTCTAACGCTGAGTGTTGTTTTATATACAAGCAACATCAAATTAAGCTAAGCAGTGGTTTTTAATCTCACACATGTTTATGTTGTATACTGAAATCATGAATCGGCATTTTGCTTAGTAAATGCTGGTGACTTAGGTCTGGTTCTGACTAAAGTAGCAATCTTGTGTATGGGCTTCTGCCTGCAGATGGGGCTTCACGTAAAGGATAAACTGAAGAGCAGGGTGGAAATATTTCCCTACAGCAAAGTAGATGTCAGGGGTGTCAAGCCTAGCCTTGTCCCTGCATGTAGAAAACTAGTGTGGCAAGGAGAAGACTGGGCTAAAACATTTGTGTGTGTACAGGATATGTATTCAGTCTGAAGTGGTACGATGCAGACTCAGATATAGCACGTCAATGAGAATGAGGCCTCTCTACAACAGGTGTAGAGGATATAGTAAATTGATTAAAGTATTTCACACCTACACTATCCTGAAGTGGTATTTTTCACACTGCGTGCCTCTGTTGTTAAAAAGTTAATAAAAACATGCAAAATTTTCCCCCACCTCACAACCTCTGGTTTTGTCCTACTTTGCATGATTGTACTGTGGTGGAATTGCTCTGTTCAAACAAATAGTATTTGTAAAGGACCAGTATTTCTCATTCTGACTTCAAGGTTAGATGTGCAAATAGCCAAGCACTGCAGAATGAAGAGAGGTAGCAGAATATTTGCCTGAGGAATAAACAAACTGCTTGTGGGGCAAAGGAAACTACCACAAAATTTTAAAAACATCGCACTGAGCGGAAGCCAAATCACCTGAAGATGTTGGCGGTGACTCAGCAATGAGCTGAACAGCCATAAGTTGTATAATAACAGCAAAATTGTTGGAAGTTTTTGCTAAATGAGTGTTAGGAAGCAGCAGAAGCAATAGTTTCAAAAGTTCATCTTACAAGCAAATAAGTGTGTGTGTGTGTGTGTGTGTGTGTGTGTTTGTTTGTTTATTTTCAACGCCTCCACTGCTTTGCACCAACCATATGTGTCCTACAGAGATGCCCCCATCAAACCTAGATTCTATTAAACATGAAGCATCCTATCAGCCAGAACTAGCTTTATCACAATGTTTTCTCCTTCATGTGGCCAGTTATATTATTCACTAAGCAAAGACACTTTCAAATTTGGTACTGTTTGTGGCACAAACTGTTTGACATCAGAATAGCATATTACAAGGAGCATGGTTTTATTCTGGAATGTTCCTTTTAGTAAAGGCACATTTTAAAAATAAAATAAAAAGCCTCCCTCTGTAACTATCGTATCTTTTAAGTGCTCTGCTCAGCGGTGCAGCTAGATTTCACTAACAAGTGTGTGCCATCTCAGGCCGGAATGAAACGGGAATTGTTACCTTTAAATTCCTTTCTGCTTTTACCTGAAGACCGAAGCTAAAAGAAGCTGGAATCGTGGCTAATGGATCCAGTGAATGAGAGGAAAAAAACGAGGCATGTCGGGAGGAGGCAGAAAATATTGCAAGGTATTTTATATTAGGATGGATATTTTATTCCAGGGCATGCAGGAAGACGCTAGCTTCTAACTAGACAGAAATATAAGAACCTTTTATCAGTCTGATCTTCGGACCCGCTAGGCTGGACTAAGTGGATTTAATTAGTTATGATGGAGGCAAAGAAGCCATGTCATATTATCCTAAGTGCATGTTTTATGAAAGAATTCTCCATGGAGCTGCTTCTACGGCTGAGGCGATGCTTTCCTGCAATTAGCAGGTGGAATTAGCGCTTAATACAGTGCTATATTTTACATCAATTCCTGTCTCCCTAGCATAGCCAATAAATATCCTTCCACAATATTTACTCAGAAGCAAGCCCGATTCAGCAAAAGGCTCTCTTGAGATTTTTAATTAGGCGTTTCCTGCTTTGGTAGTTGCACGGATGGTGCCATTTTATGTTAGTCCAACCATCCCTAAAGTGGCACCTCACTCCTGCAATTTTTTAAAAAAATATTTCAATTCCAGTCCTGGGGCAGACCGGTGGGCCCAGAAGCAGTCTTAGGAAAATAAAATGGTGGCTGCCTGGAGCCTTGCCAGCCGTGGGCTAGATGTAAGGGGGGGAGAGGGGGGACCCCCACTGCTGCTTCTGCCTGGTAAACTTGGAGGGAAGGACAATGGGGATTCTGTGGAAGGTGACTGAGGGGTGAGGAGAGCAGTGGTGGAACAGGAAAGGCAGCAGCAAATGGATGGGAAGAGTACTTTTTAATAAACACAGCTGCAGGGAGCTTTTCATGTGGAGGGCTATAGGGGTGAGAGGATGGGCCTGTTCCTAAATCAGTGGCTTCAGTGACAGGCTGATGAGCACAGTTCCTTCCACCTGCCTTCCAAGAGGGATCTGACCAAATGCCCACATCAGGGACATCGTAGGAAATCTGAAAAGTGGCTCCCAGGCTTGCGCCGGTGGATTGCCTGGTGCTGGAGTGGAGACGGGGCTTGGGCTGGGCTGGGCAACAGTGGGCCTTGGGCAACAGTTGGGTACTGAGGCCCTGGCAGTTGACTGGGGATGCCTTGGGCTCATGCTAGGCCTGGAAATGTTAATTTATTTATTTTAAATCCCCCAGCCTCCTACAGTCTGAAGCGGTGTAGTTCACTCTACCAACTCAGAATTCTGTTTTCTTTCAACAAGCCTTGTTGTTTTGCTAATGTGTGCTCTTGATTACAGCAACTGGAAGGTATTTATTCCTCCCATAAGTACCTACTATGTTGCACATGCTCCAGAAGCAAATAATAATAATGAGTATTCATTTATGCTCAGTCTTCAACAGCATCCATCATTTTCTGAAGCACATTATAATAATCACCGCCATCTTTTAAAGAGGTTGTTTCAAAAGCTCTCTGCCAAGGGGCTTTTTCATTTTTTGGCAAAAGGTTTCTCTGCTGGAGGTACAATTTGTACAATGGACACCCTGAGCCCCCAATGTCATATTGTGAACTCCTCCCTGGGCCATAGAATTGTAGAGTTGGAAGGCACCCGCAGGGTCATTTAGTCTAACCCCCTGCAATGCCAGAATCACAACTCGATAATACACAAGACACAAAATCTCTCCAACAAGGCACTGCCCTTTTACATTATCTCTGCCCAGCCCTCAAGAGAGACTCTTCTGTCCACTGAGCAAACATAGGGTTACAAATATTGAGTTATTACAATCTTGCCTCCCAGAACCCTGTGTTTGTCAAGAATTTCTACTAGCACCAGGATAATAAATGACCTGCGTTCTCAATAAATAAAAGGAGGTTCTTTTTGTACCCATAAGGCAGCAAATATCCTGTTATTACAGAGTTACGCCGTTATTTAAACTAGAATATGCAGTGGGGGAGAAACAAAATTTCCCCGATTATTAGAACAGAAAGTAGAGAGACGTGCACAGGAACTCATGCTGTTTGATGTTTTGCCACTGCTTTAAGTCTAGTAAGCAAGCATCCGTTAAAGGTTCGTTTTATAGTTAATGCAGAGCAAGCAGGCCCAAGGAGTTAAAAATATTTCACATAATTCCTTAAGGGACGATGACTGACGCTAACACAAGTCTCAGAATGAAAGCCCAACGTTACTAGTGAACGGTCTGTGCCTATCGCAGGACAGAATGTTTTTTCATAGGCTCCCAAAACTCTTGACCCCAAAGGGTTAGTAATACGGCACAGCCTATCCAAAGACACCTAGTTCTGGACTGCATCAGCCCAAAGATCACAGTGTGCTGCGTTATTAGCACAAATGGTTTCACACATGCAAAAATGCTGGCTGCAGTTGGCTGCAAAGTCCAGCTCGGAATGAGGAAAGATTAGGGGTGGGGGTGTTTCTGCCAGGGCCAGCCCTACCAGTGGACCAAATGAGCAAGATGCCTCTGGTGGCAGCAGCTGGGGCTTGTGAGAAGCAGCAGTAGTGGTGCCTTCCGTCCTGCCGTTCTCCTTCACTCCTCCCCAGCCATTTTCCTTTGCAGGAAAACAGCTGGGTGTGTCCTCCAAAGGACCCTTCTGCCATGACACAGTCCCTCTGCGTTGAAGCAAGATTCACCCATCAGTTTGGTTGGCTTGTGAGGCGGGGAATGGTGGCTGCCATTTTGTCTCTTCAGGCAGCAAAATTTGGAGGGGGGGCAGCTCTGCGTGGCTTCTTCCATCTCACGCTGCAGGAGACTGACACAGCGTGAACCGACAGCATTGCCTTCTTAGACATAAATTATATTGTTACCAGAGGTTCATCACATCATAAAAGTAAAGGGACCCCTGACCATTAGGTCCAGTCGTGGCCGACTCTGGGGTTGCGGCGCTCATCTCACTTTATTGGCCGAGGGAGCCGGAGTACAGCTTCCGGGTCATGTGGCCAGCATGACTAAGCCGCTTCTGGTGAACTAGAGCAGCACACGGAAACACCGTTTACCTTCTACTTGCACTTTGATGTGCTTTTGAACTGCTAGGTTGGCAGGAGCAGGGACCGAGCAACGGGAGCTCACCCCGTTGCGGGTATTCAAACCGCCGACCTTCTGATTGGCAAGTCCTAGGCTCTGTGGTTTAACCCACAGCCAGTGGCGTAGCGTGGGGGGTGCAGGGGGGCCGGCCACACCGGGCGCAACATCTGGGGGTTAGGGTTAGGGGGCTGAAATCCACGGGTTAGGGGGCGCAAATCCACGGGTTAGGGGGCGCAAATTACTTGCCTTGCCCCGGGTGCTGACAACCCACGCTACGCCACTGCCCACAGCGCCACCCATGTCCCTTCATCACATCATATTATTGTTTAAATAACCTTTACATTCTAAATCCTGCTCATTTTGGAAACTTGAATGTGTTCTTTGAATGATGGGTTCCCATCGGCGAGGTTGGGAGGGCAATTAACTTGGATCTCATTTGCTTCTTAAGTTAATAAATACCAGCATTTGAGAATTCACTGCATGGAGTGTTCCATTTTTTATCTTATATTCTTGGCTACCAAAACTCGTTTTCCCCATCTGAGGCTCCTAAGTACATGAAGAAGCGTTCTTGATCTCAGGTGTTCCTTCTTGCATTTCCAGGGCTGCATCAAAGTGAAAATCTCTATCACCTCTCCAGGCCGGTCCTAGTACATTAGGTAGATTGAGGCTGGCACCTCAGGTGGATGATTTTGGGTGTCGTGAAAGGGCGGTGGGGGGACGACCCAATTTCTTATTATTGTCTAGGAAAGGAGAGAGGTGCTTGTGGGATTTTTCTGTCTCAAACTGGCCTTGGGTGCTTTCTGCTGGTGGGAGCGGGTAGCATTTGCGATTCTGCCTCAAGCAACAAAATGTCTTGGACTGGCCCTGACTCTGTTGAGACGTTGAATCTGTGTTGGGTTGGGCTGCTTCCCAATACTATGTTTATACCTAGTCTGCATAACTGAGGTACCCCTTCCACCAGGAAATGAGGAAATATAATTAAGTAAGCTCAGTATTTGGTACTTGTTACCTTTTACCTTACTCGTTACCCCATGTTGTCCTCTATTAGCTTTATGCTATGTTTTACTTGTATTGTTATTTTGATTGATTTTAGAAATTTTCATTAGTGTGTTTCAAT